AAACAGCCCCTGAGGGAGCTGCTGGGATCGCCCTTCCAGCCTGGAAAACCCGGGACACCCCACAGCGGCTTCAGCTCCCGGCCGAGCTGAGGGACCGGCTGCTCTGAAAGTCCCCGAGGGCTGCATGAAAAACACTTAATTTGGGGACACGTACAGAGTTTCCTGTGCTCCACAGGGCTGGGGAGAAGCAAAGCTCAGCGAAGCAGCGGGAGAGGGAGCTGTGGCAGCTCAGTCCCGCAGGGACGGGCGGGAATCCCGCGGCTCTGACGGGCCGGGAAGCGCCGCCAGGGGGCGCGCGCGGACAGGGAACGGCCTGCTCCCGCTAAAAATTAATGTCATGTCATGTAATATCATATATCATTATAATATAATATCATAATATATAGTATAATATAGTATAATAACCTGTAGCTCTATTGGGAACGGCGAGAGGAACGACACAGACTCTTTTGTGAGTTGAACAGGAGAGTTCCTCCTCCAAGGTTTATTACCTCAGATCTTCTTTTGTAGACCGATACGTGAAAGTACAGAAAAGTAAAACTCTTATTGGTTAGTAAACTAACACATCACCATAACTGGTCAGTGGTGTACACCATCCCTCGACCTTCTCTTGCAAGAAAGCAAGAAACTGACAAACAGCATCTGCAAGGCTGTTTTCTATCTCTGAGGATTGTTTTAATTCCTCCTTATGATTTCCCAGGCCACTTTCTCAGGTGAGACTGAAAAAGTTATGCGTCCTGCTTTTCCACAAGCACTGTGCTCCCTGCCTTTGCTCATAGTTAGCATCCATAATAACCTATATCTTTAATATATTTGTTATATAATACATATAAATTATATTATAATGTGGCATTTCTGGACATGGTTTAGCAGTGGACTTTGGAATGCTTGGTTATGGCTGTTGGACTCAATGGCCTTAGAGGTCTTTTCCAAGATAAATTATTCCATTCTCTTATAATATATTATTTTAGTAATTTGTACTTTCTTTATAATATATAATCTAAATATTAAGATTTTATATTTTACTAAACATATTAAATTATATTTTTATGCTTTTTGATCTTAGGTAATAGATTCACTCAGCCATCCCTAGTCCCAAATACACAGATACACAAGTACACACAGAGCAGCAAGGGCACAGCAGTGATGTCTCCCTGCCTGCTGGGAGGAGTTGAGGTGAAGGGAACCCTTTTCACATCTCCCTTTGAGCCCCTCAAGTCAGGTGCATTTCCAGTTTTCTGGCCTGCCACCCAATAGTGCCCCACCTGCCCCAAATACACAGGCCTTTCCCATAGCTCTAATATCCAGCTTCCCATTCCCATCTCCTTCCCTTCCCATCTCCTTCCCTTCCTGTCCCCCTCTCCCAGACCCTGCAGCTGTGAGCAGGCACTGAAAGGTGCTGTGGTCTGTGTGGACCAGCCAACAAATGCAGACAGAGGCTTCTTGGCCCCTTGGGTTTTGTCTTTTGAAATAAGTAGGGAGACAAAAATAAAATAAGAAATTTGCACTGAATATTTATTTTGATAAACATTGTGTACTCCAAACAACTACGTGTTATTTCAGTTGTAAGCCACAATCCTTTGGAAACAACGTCCCAAGAGCTCTTGTCATCATAAACCCGACAGTCAATGCACCACCACGGTCTGTGGACATAGAGAGCTTTCAAGTGCAAAGCAGATTATCAGGAAAGACACATTGCCAACCTCCTTAACAAACTGGACAATGCTCAGCTCCAGTAAAAATGCTTCATATGTCTGCAATTTAGTTGTCTTAGTGCCATTGTAATAAATTAATAGAAAATATATCTTTTTTCATTGGAAAGTCTATAAGAAAATGTACAAACATCTAACTCCGAAAAAGGACCAGCTGTTTCGGCGACAGGTAAAACAAGCAATTGAACAGAGGCAATAAAACCCAAACATCCAAACAAACAGAGACAAACAAACAAAATGCAATCCAAAAAACCCCACTCCACCAACGGCAACTGTGTAGGCAAACATGGAAACATCTGCAGTAATAAAACCTTTCAGAGAGGGAGGGTCACTGCAGCTTGTGCAGGGTGGGCAGAGGATGAGCAGTTGGGGAATTCACTGGTCAGAATGTGCACGAGCAGTTTCTGGAACAGAGACTAAACAGGAGTCCCGTGGCACAAAGCTCTCGCTGACTGGCGATGGCACCAGGCTCCCATCTGTCTCCAGAGGACACATGGATGGCTCCAGGCCATGCAGGGCAGCGGGAGCCCTGGGCACCTCCCCGGAGAGCCTGGCCCTGCACAGGGTCACAATGCTCTGCTCTCCCTCGGGCTGGCAACCTGCAGTGATCCCCTACCCTGTATTCACAGCAGGAGACCCTCCCCAGCTCCAAAACAGGCCCCATGTGACAAGCTCAGCATCACAGGACAAGCTGCTTAAGTTTTCTCTTTTAATAAGGTGAGATGTTTTAGGAAAAGAGAAGAAAAAGATTTTTCCTAGAGCCAAGTCTTATGCTTTCAACCCTGAGAATTCCCAAAACAGTAAAATCAGAAGCTACACTTCAGCACAAAGGCAGCATGCTCCTAGAGCTGAACAAAGCAGTCTAGGGGACAGACCCACCTGCTGGGATGCTCCTGGGAAGTTGCACACTTAGAGGGAGGAGGAGAGGGGAAATGGCCATGGCCAGTGGAGCACTGCAGAGGGCAACCCCAGCACTGGGGCTTGTACAAAGCCAAATCCCACTGCAGGCACATCCCAAGCCTTGCTTTCCTGCCCACCATCTGCGAAGTGCTCGTGAATGAAATAACCCAGCTTTGGTCCATCTCCTGGAAGCAGATGTGTTCCACCAACACTTCTGCAGTGGCACCACCAGCACTGGTTCAGGGCAGAGAAAAGATGTATACAACCCAAACTGACAGACCAAAGGGAATTCCTGTTTGTCTCTTCCCTTGACTCCATGGATCTGCCACTGTTTTGGCTATCACGGGATGTCAGGTAAACATTTTGGATGATCATGGTTGAAACACTGGTGAGACTGACTCTTCCATGGAGCAATTTGTGAAACCCCCAAACTATCACAAGAATTTCGGGGAATAAACAACTCACCTTATTTTCCTTTTACAAATGTTTCCCATTCACTCTGTAAACAGCACAAATGCCTAAGGAGCGAGCACTCATTACCAGATTCTCATTGGGAAGCAGAGAGGAAAAGTTTGGCTTTTTTTTTTTTTTTTAAATACAATACATATGACATTCAGTGAATTCAAAACAACTCTGTAGTAAGTCTGAAAAGAACATTTCCAGTTTAAAAACCCAGGAGAGGCTTGAGGGGAATGCAACCTACAGTACTGTCTAAATTTTGTTCATGCTTGCTCTGATATTCAGAGCAAATGATCTAAACCAGCATATGCCCAGCCTTTGGAATGACACACAAAATCCTTGCTTTTTTGTTGAACTTCAAGGTTGCATTTTTCATACTGTGGGTAAAAAAACAACTTAATTACATAAACCAAGTAGCCATCAGCAACTGGAATAATTTATGTGGCAGTGGGGACAGGCAGAGATAAAGTGGGGAAACAAATTCAACTTACTGGCAAGATTGACATTTTTTGAAAAGCTTGTCATGATGTCTTTCACACTTCCCCCCTGCCCTTACAGTTCTTAGAACAGCCACAGCCTTCAGAAACGCCTTTGTGGTATTTCTGGGCAACTGACAGAAATATCACTGAGCACTAGAAATGCTTTCAGTGTTTTAAAGGATAATGTTTAATTTCCCAGCTTCAAGAGATGCCCCATTAAAGACCTGATTCACTCTGATCTGCCTTCAGTACCCAGGTATTGGTTTGAAGCAGGGGGAAAGGAGGTACAGGACATCCAACTAGTGCACTGGGATTCTCATTTTAATTCTTCAGCCACCTGGAAAGAACTCATCCAGGTCTCCTGTAACTCTTACAGGAGGACCAAGACATAATCTTAAGCCAGAGGACAGAATCAGAAAGCATCACACAGCAGAGCAGTGTGATCCTGATCCCTCTGATATCCTGGGAAAGGCGAGGGCAGCTCACCCTATGTGATGCTGAATAAAGTAAATCCCAGTATTCCTAGTCAAAAATTGGAAGCGTTGAATTGGGATGGCTTTAGCTGGCAACCATGAACTGATCCTGCATGTTGTTATACAGAGGGAAAGGCTGAATGGGAAGGGCTGAGAAAACACATGTGCTAATTGACATTGCTCTCCTAGCCTGCAGCTGCTTGTTGGAGGAAATTTTTTTATTTGCACAACCACTATTAAAACTCCTTGATCCATAGGAAAAACACAGTTTTCTGAGGAAGCAGAAATAGGTGGTTCCATCAGTCTCTGCTGGTATGTTTTGTCCACTCTTTCTGTCATTTCTTCCCCAGCTATGTGCCGTGGGCTGCATGTACAACACACACCCCAAAGAGCTTGATCAAACCTCGCAGAAGCTTCAGGAGAAATGCTTACTGTCCAGTTACGATTCCCAGCATCCGGGTAATCACTCAAATCCACTCTTTCTACCCCAGATTGTCAACCAGTCTTTGAACTGGCATTCCATGTCTACGTGAGCAGCTAGTTACGCTATGGAAAAGAAAAAGTCTTCAGACAACTTAGAGGCTGGTAGAAGCAACAATCCTTGATGGTCTTCAGATCAAGAACTCCCCTTCAAGAGGCAGCACTAACGTCAGTCTGTCCCAGGAGTGCTGACAAAAGCAGCACCTGGAGAAACAGCTCAGACCTTGCTCAGTATGGCCAGCGGTGCCTCAGCGCAGGAGCCAGCCTGGGCTGGCCAGCACAGAGCACACACTGGCCACAGAGAAAGGCTTCTCTGTCACATGTGGCCACTCTAGCTACTTACAGTGAGATGTCTTTTTGAACAGCAACAATGAGAAAATGCTACACGGTGGCGCAGGCGGGCGAGGCCTGCGCAGAGCGGTCAGTAGTCTGTCCGTCCGCCCGTCTGTCCGTCCCACAGGGCAGTGCTGGCGGCCAGCAGGCACAGCAGGGTGTCCTCACAACTTCATTTTCTTCACCACAGGAATTGGAAGTGCTTGGTAGATTTTAGCTGAGTCCTCGTTCGTGACCAGCTTCACCCAGATGGGGCGGAAGCTGCCTTTGAAGCCGACAAAAGCCATTTTTTCTGCAAATCAGAGCAAATGCATTTGGAGTGTGCCCAGGACTGCACCAGAAACCCACCTGTGTGCAGGGCTACACCTCCTGGAGGGGTGCAGGGCACAAGAGCCATGTGTATCACACACACACACACACACACAGGCGGAATCACGCCAAAGCTCACAGAGCTGATTGCAGCAATGTGCACATGGAGCTGTATTCTAATGCAACATGTGATGCTCTGAAATCAATGTGCTCTGTGCCATCAGTCAGAAGGTGTCAAGAGAAAACCAGCTAAAAACAAGTTCAGATGAGTAAAATGTCTTGTTTTGGGGCATTTAGTGGATGAAAAGACTAAGTATTTCTATTATTAAGAAGTAATTTTTTTATCTAAAATTAATCTGGAAAATCAAACTTCTGAATTATTTATTTCTAAGAAAAACTGCCAGAGTGTTCTTTCTATTTACAGTTTTAAATAGAGCATGTTACCCAAAGCTGAAGTGGATACAACCTTTCTGAATAAATAAATTACTGGTTCCAGTATGTTTGAGTACATGCTGATAGAAACAAGCAAGGCAAAGGTTAGAGGCAGGAAAAAGGTCCCTTTAGTGGAATAATGGGAGCTTAGAAGTGAGTTTATAAAAACTGGTTACCTTTTAACCTAAAACCCTCTCCTGCTCCAAGTTTCTCCAGTACTTTAGTCCACGGTCCTCTTGAAATGAATCTTCCTTTAGATGTCACCAGCACTATGGAGCTGAAGGAAACAAAGGGATGTGTAAAGGGATGAAGAGCCAGAACACATTCCTTGCTTGTTTGTCCTGCCTGTGTGTTCACACACCCATGAACTACAGTGGCTTCAGCTTTAATGTTTTTCAGTGCTTTCCAACAGTGTGAATACAGATTATTTTTCCAGTCATGCAAAACCCATTAAAAAAGAGACAGAAGCCACTTTTTTTTTATTATTTTTAAGCATGGTTTTCTAGGATGATTTAAATGTTCCAACCTGCAGTTCCATCCTGCTTTGCTCAGAGAGACCCATCTTTTCCCTGGGATGCCCTTAGCAAGTCTCAAGTAAATTCTTGTTCTTTCAATAGCAGATTAAACCTGAAGAAATTCACTTCTCTGATACTTTTGTTGGCCTCATGCTTTTCCTTTCAGTGTGCTTCTGTTTAAAAAGTAAGTTAATATTATTACTACTATTCCTGATCAGGAGCTGGATTTAGCCAGGATTGAGATTTTTGTAAAGCAGGATGATGGCCTCTCTGAAAGGACTTCTTATTTTTCATATGAAAGAAAAGCAAGAAATTACCATGCTTCCCTGAAGTAACTATGTGATGTGATTTTTGAAACCTCTAGAATTATTTAAGACAACAGAAACACATCTGAGTGCACCTGCATGGCACTCTGCCCAAGCTTCCCCCAAGCCTCTAGAGTAAATGCTAGAACAATATGCTGTTGATCTGCCCACAGCTATTTCAGATGATTTGTCAACAAGCACTCAATATTTGTATTAACTATTACACATCAGATTTCAAATCCAAACAGATTTAATAACAATGAAATATATTCACTTCCCATGAGCACTCCAAAAGCTAATGTGGGAACAACCCCTTTGGTTAATGGGTTTCTGATGTGGTTCCAATTCTCCTTCCTGCAGAAGAAGCCATTGTTCCCCAAGATGCAGGAACTTCTTTTGGCTACATACCACCTATTTCCAAAACACTGCATTCCTGGCTGCCCATACTCAAAATACAAAATAATCCAGCCTTTAGGTCTGGGCAGGGGAACATGCAAAGGGGAATGGATTTTACTGGTGGAATTTCCTGCAATTTGAGAAAACATACATGCAGTAAAAAAATGCAGGCTGTGTGCATCTGTATGGATCAGTGTTTTGTGAATTTAAGTCTGCAGATTGTCTATAACCACAAAATAAATGTAGCTCTGCAGTGTATTAATCACATGAAGCCCTGCAAATTACCTGGGTCTCAATTGGTCCCTGAATCAGAGTGTGCATCCTGCTGCTGCCTGCATGTCCTGCACACATTTGGGCTCTTTTGGAGTCATCAGACACAAAAATACATTGGGTGCATTGCTCTGCTGTTGGGTGTCTGGCCCATGTTTGTGATAAAATCCAGGAAAAGATGAGTGTTATGCAGCATGCTTGTACGTTGCACCTTAGTGAGAACAGATTATTTACTCACTGATCTTTGATGTTGTTGACATAATTCTCTATCTGTGCTGGGATTCCTTGTAGAATGGAGTTTTTGAATGTTACTCGATCAACAACTTTTCCATGGTGTCCATCAATCACAACCAGTTGGATACCCTCTTCAGTGAGGAAAAACCTCACACCATCAACCTGGGCAGGGGGAAAAATATTCTTGATCTCTCACAGTAACACAATTGCAAACAACCACCTGTAAGAAGCACTGATGGTCTTGAGTCGTGGGACTGTTGTTTGCTTCAGAGGGCAGAATTCCAGGTCTCTGAGGTCCTGCTATCCTGCCTAGTAGGAGAAGATACAGCCTTTTTTCTTTTTTTTTTTTTTCCCAAAATACAAAACAGAAATTACCCAAATTTAACACCCCATGGTAACTTCTGTAAGCAAGCTTTCCATGAAGATAAAGCACATGGTGTAGAATTGCATCCCATTAAGTTAGTTGAGAGGATTTGCTCACCTCAATGTATGCAAAGTCATCCTTCAGGTGGAAGTACTGTTTCTTGTAAGTTTCTATTTTCACTTCAATTAAGTGGTCCTTGGTCTTCTGTTTGCAAAATGAAAAAAAACAGATTTTCTAGTGAGAATGTCCATTACCTGAATGCTGCATTTTCAATGAAAACACTTCAAACCTGGAAATTCAATCAACAAAGAAGCTACATAATAAGCACTGACTTGCCAAATTAAATTGCTAATGAAACTGGGCACAATGGTAACCCTTCTGCTCATCCTGTGACCAATTAAATTGTTTCACTGAATGGCAGAGTGAGTCTTACTTTGCAGAACTGACACATAGTTCTCCAAAGCTTTGCTGTGTATTCCTGTTTCAAGGGTGATGAGTGAAAAAACCCAAATAACAAATAAATACCCCACTTCCTCCCCCAGAACTAGACTGGATACAGGAGATTGTGTTATGCATTATATAAATGAGAATAATTCAACTCTACTATTCTACTACTGTCTGTCACTGATGTTCTTACAGCTTGGAGGAGCTGTAGGCTCCAAAATCACATTCACTGCACCAACCTCCAGCCTCATCAGTTTTCACCTGAGCTTTCAAGAGCAGCATGTCACATCAGAGCCCCAAAAGACCATGTATACAGCTTGCAATGTCTCTGCATGTTGCAAGTGTCTGCTTCATATTATTTCACCTTCCTGAACCATTTCAGAATATCAGGCACAGCATATACTGCCCCTGGCACAAAGTTTTTCTGTGTCTGCAGCCACAATATGTGCCAGATTAACAAGAGCAATGATTTTGTGATAAGAAATCAGCTGCTTTACCAGTTGTGCACTAGAGAGCTTCTTTGGCATTGGCACTTCCACTATTGGTGTCTCAATGTACTTGGGATAGGCTGTGGCTTCACAGTCGCTGACACCAGCTGTCTTTGGGATCACAGCTTTGATTCTTATTCGTTCACAGCCTTTTACAGAGCAGAAAGCAAATTTCTCCTTCTCATTTTGAGCTTTGAGTTTCAGAAACAGCAGCCTGCAGGCAGGAGAAACAAAAAACAAACAGCATCCTTCAAACTTTTTGTGCAAAAAAGGAGTTTTGGTGGACTCCTTCCCATGATTTGCAATAATTTTCATTGCAGCTCTTGGTGCTGTGTTTTATAGTGCCCAAAAACCTACATGCAAATAAATAGGAACACTCATCTCAGAAATGGTTTAGGGAGCTCATGGAAAGCACAACAAAGAAATCAGATAGCACCTGAATGCCTTCTGAGCTCTATTCTATATGCAGATTCATATATGTAGAAATACATGCTTTGTATTTTAGGTCTTTCTTTCTTTCCCATTATTTCAATCCTTTAAAATAACAGGCTTTACACTTAGTTCCTGTGCATTGTGTACACCCTGTCATGGTGTTTATAAATAGTTGTTGTTCAAAACAATAAGGGCTGTGCATGTCTTCAATTAAGTTTCATGGTCTGCACTTTGATTTGTCTCTCTTTTTTTCTTTTTCTTTTTTCTTTTCAAAGTTTTATTCACTTGGAAAAGCATTTCCCAGAGTAATTGGCAGTGCAGCAGAGGCTGTGAATGACTGGCAGGCCTGAGAGTCCCAGGAAAATTAAGCACTGGTCACATTCCCAGAAAACCTTCCTGGTTTTGTTGCTATTCCCGCCAGTGGCATTAACCAAACAGCTCACAATTCCAGCAGCATTCCCAAAGCAATGCCCAAAACAGCAAGGCCTGCTGTCTTACCCAGTGTCCTCATCCCAGTAGTAGTACCCTTTGGTAGGATATCTGTGCTCCAGTTTCTCCATTTGGGAGGTTCTGTAGAAGGTTCCAGTTTTGTACGTTTTCTTCAAGAGACGATTGTGGATGTCTGAGAGAATGGAAAATGTCGTCCCTTTAGGATAGCAAAACCCTACTTGGATCCAGTCATTCCTAAAAATAGCAAAGACTCACATTGTAACAAGTTATAACTATTATTTTATATGCATGCTAGAAGCTGAACTAAATAATTTACAATAAGTTTTTCCCTGTCCAGTTAAAATTGTCATGGTTTAGAATGGATCAATGCAACATAAATTGGACATAACAACCGTGGGTTAGTTAAGCAATGTAGAGCAGATCTGCTCCTGACTTCTACACCTGTGACTTCCATGCACCAGGAATGAATTAGCTCTGAACTTCCAAAAATGAACTGTGTTATCTTACAGAGCTTCCTGGGGGAGGAAACAGGAACCTGAGATGGCTCGTGAAAAGATGAACTCAATGGACTTCCTGTAACAGGCATGTTCATTCTGGAAGAGCTCCTGAGGTGATGACCTCACCCATTAAAAATGTGCCGTTACATGATTGTGCTGGAATGCTGGGATTCAGTTCACTCACTTGTTGAAGTTGATGAGCCATATGGCCAGCTCTTCAGGGGCTGTCTTGTCCCAGTGGATGGTGTAGCCTTTCCTCAGAGTTATAACTGGCTGATACTGCTGGTAATGAGTGCTTTTGCTCAAAGCCCCTTCCAAGTAGAGTGGGTGATTGTGGTAGTCATTTTTTATTATTTTCATTTTCAGGTTGGCTGGCTTGTAGGCTTGGATGTATATCTAGATGGGAAAAAAAACCAAAAAACCAAAAACAAAAAGATCACCCAGGGTTTAATGAACTACAGTGAAAGGTTCAGATACTCAATAGATGTGAGGTGGTGCAAGTCCTGTGTGCTGGGAAGGGACCTGTGGGCTGTGCACTTATGTTCAATTCCTTAGGTTTCCATTTCAACAAAGCAAACTGCTTCCAGGAAAAAAAAAAAAAGAAAAAAAAAAAAAAAAGAAAAGCTCATTTCCTCATGCACTGAGTTCAAGTGCATGTGCCAGAGGCTGCAGCAGGGCTGAGATATTCCACAGCATCCTGCAACCCTCAGCAGCAGGACAGTATCTACCTCAGACATCTGACTTGTGCTGAACAAGGATCCTTCTGTCTGGGTTTCAGAAGCCTGAAACCCAGATCAGTGGTTAAAAATTGGCTGTAGTGGCACTGCACACAAAAAAACCCCAACTGTTGCAAAACATAAGACAAAACCAGGCACTCTCAGCAGAGGAAAGTGAGGACTCTCATGGCAGCAGCACTCAGGGTTCCTGTGGGGGGAAGAATGGTTTGGTGGTCACACACAGGATGAAAGACCACGAAAGCTAAAGTCTAATTTTGACTCATCAGCACATTTCCCTTAACACTGTGGGCAACACTTCCCTCCATAAATCAGGGAAAAATAACTAGCCAATAGCCCATGGATTTATGAATATTAATCTGTGAATGCCCATGGAGCCCTTAGGAGGCTTCAGGCAGAAGTTGTTGGAGCTGTCAGCAGCCAAAGCCAAGATTTCAGAAAATATACCACATATTTCTCATGTTCAAAGCCACCTGCGCAGACATGCTGATAAATAAACACTGAGCACTATGAAGAAAGTCCATTTCTACAGGTCAAGCTTTAAAGTGCCAAGAAATTTTAAATAAACCACAGGGATAATGATACTGCAAGGTAAGCAGCCTTACCTGTGCAAAGTGCCCACTGCAGATGGAGCCTCTCCAGTCAGGCACGTCAATGCAGTCAGGGTGCTTGATTAACCAGTTATCTTCTTTGATCAGGTATGAGCCTGGATATTCTGACACAGAACCATCTACATCATGAAAAACCGATGTTTTGTCACCGTCCATATCCAGATCATTGAACCATGGGCCAGGTTCTCCAAAGAACACTCTTGAAGTAATCTAAACAAAACAGTGGAACAAATTTACATCTCCAGAAAGGAATTAATCACTTAGAGTACAAGAAAAGGATGCCCTTCGTCACTACAGTGTCTCTAATTACCCATTTTCTGACTTAAAAGGTGTGTTTGACTTGTCAGGCAGAGCAGATACACATTTCCCTGCTGACCATGGGGGAAAGGCTAAAAAAACCCACAATTTCAGCCTCAGCAGTGGGAAGGTTTGTTATAAAATTCTGGAGGAAGGTTCAGGAGATGAGGCGATTTCACGAGAGCCACTTCACTCATTGTTTGCTAACACAGCTTCGAAGTTCCAAGCCACATTAAGTCAGCCAATGTGGAAAATAGTCAGCCCTGGGAAATGGCTGCTCAAGCAACTTCTGACTGATATTTTTATCCAGCATAAATAAATGTCATGTCACCAGCCTGCCTCATGCAATGTGTGAGAGACCAACCATCACTTTTAGGGGAATTTTGCCTTTCCCATCATATTTAGCACTGGTCAGCACTTTTCCTGACCTGTAAGCAAGCCTGCTAATTTTTTGAAAATTAGGCAACACCAATCATTTCGGCCCAACCACTTTATTTATTTATTTGTTTGTAATGTTTGGCAGATGGATTTTAACAGCTGCTAAAGGTGAAGCTCAGTGAAACAGTTAGCACGTATTTGTGCAGGCAAATACAAAAATAACTCAAAGGAACAGGCCCCAGGATGGGTTCAGACCAGCACCCAGAGGTTCATAGTGTAATTCAAAATTTGGCAAATCCTTTTGGCTGGACTCTGCTCTCATTTATGTCTGCAGAACTGGAGTCTGGAATTACCCTGGTGTGCAGGGCTGCAGAATTATCCTGCATCAGCTCAGTTTCACTGGCTGTTCCCCAAAATCAGTATTTTTTGCTTCTAGGTCAGTCAGGCCTTTCAGAACAGACTTCCGTCTGTTGCTTTAATATTATACCACTGCTGAAAATAAAGGGGGGCTGATTCTTCACTTTCTGAGTCGTACAGAAATGGAAATTATTTTCACTTCAGTGTTGCTATTTTTCTTTTTTTTTTTTTTCAACTGATGCCTGCATCTGTTTTGCTACAAACCTGACAGACAACTGGATTTTCTTGTTATTGCACCCAACGCATTCCCTCTTTCTTTTTGTTGTTAGACTTCTGGCAAAGACAATCAGCAAGACCTTACATTTTCTCCTTTTTGCCCACAAGCCCAATTCCAAGGCTTCACTGGCTTTCTGGGAAGGGTGACTCACGGGGACGTCTTCGAAGCGGATGCCGGTGACGTTGTTGTTGGGGCAGCTCTGCCAGGCGTTGTTGAGGCGGAAGGCGAGGGCACTCGTGTGCCGCCCGTCCAGCGCCGCGAACTTGCGGAACGTGCAGTTCTGGATGTTGATGGGCCCGTCGTAGAACTGAATCCCTCGGATGGGAAAATCCCTAAAATACGTTCAGAGGAGACAGAGAGACTTGGTCATGACATGTTAGCATCAGGAGGAGCTGCATTCTAGACACGCACAGTCCCACAGCGCTTGTTTCGTGGCTGCTTTCATTTCTTGAAGCCCATAGGATGACTCCTAAGTTCCTGCTTTGGAAGAGAAGGGATTTCCCTTCTTTTCAGCTCTGTAAAGTCCTCTTATCCTTGCAAGTTCAGCTCAAGTTCTCTCATGTTGAACAGATCATCTTTATTTAGTCTGTACTTCTCCAGGGAAGGAAGTAACAGCAATGGCAAAGGATTGACCTAAAGATGAATAAATTCATGTTTGTCATCAGAAATGAGTTCTGCAGCAGTGAAACCTGAAACTCAGCAGAGCCGTGCAGACTCCTTGGGCTGAGTAAAGGCAGGGATAAAAGAAGTCCCACCACATCTTTCAAAGGGATTTGGAGAGAAGCATTGCAGATCAAATGCAATAAAAAAACAATTGTTTTTGAAAACAAGGAAAGGTCCTACAATCATAGACCTAAGAAGAGTTGAAGGGGCAGATTAATTAATCTTTATCAGCCTTTTCTGATATCATCTGCAAGGCAAAGCAGACACCATTTTCACACCAATTAAATTAACAAGATGCTTAAGGTCTTTAAGAGGCTAAGATAAGACATTTCAAATTTCACTTACGATAAATAAATTTGATCCCTTCCTCATATGATCCCTTAGAGAATTCCTGCCTCTTCCAGTGCATTTGCTCTGAGTTTCTGCATACCACATCAAAGATATGTCCACATATATATATATATATGTGTGTGTGTGTGTGTGTGTGTGTAAAGGATATTAGGAGAGTCATAGCAGAATGGGTTTTCATTATTGGTATAGTTTATAATGAGTCCCCAGCATCACTGTTGACAGAAAATTGAGGCCTGCAATATGGCAGAAAAGCACCAGCTGAGCTGTTTGCTCACTGTGGGGCTACTGTGTGAGTAACTGTTTTTAGGAAGCAAAAACACTGTACTTGCAAACCAATCCAAAGGACTAAGGTCTAGGAAGAGGCCACACATGAAGTTCACTGGCCATTTCAAAACTGCTTAACAAAGGCACCAAAGTCCTTTGCAGGAGCACCAGAAACAGCAGCACTGAGCACTCCCATGACAAGCCTAGGAAGGGGCTTCCATGAGCCTTCCTGGCAGCTGAGGGAGCTCAGCTCATTGCTCAGCACTGCTGATCACACGTACAGAGGTGCCCTGCTAGCACAGAGTGCTCTTGCTGTCCTCTCAAATCCCCTTGCAAAGGGGAGGGGGAAGGAAAGAGGAGCTTGATCTCTCTTGGCAGCCTGCAAGGATGTACCTGCCAGCAGCAGCTGCACAGTGAGGGCTCTGGGATTGGGAGACATGAAATAAATCCTTTCTGTGTAATGGTTATTAAACTGAACAGCGCTGAGGAAAGCACACTGGGCTGGAGTTTGTGCTGGGAGCGGGAACCATGAGTGCTTTGGTGTGCTGAGCTCAACTTACGGGCCGATGGGCAGGGTCCTCCCCCTGTGATCCAGACCTCCAGGCCCCCAGATCTCGTTGTCCATGGTCTCCGTGCCCAGGTTCCCACTCTCGCCCACAAACAGGCTGTTCTTGATTTCCTGCTTCGAGCCGTCATCGTGAGGGAAGGTCCCACCACTGAGGAGAAAGGGCTGGAGGTGAAAGGAGTGCTCACACCCAATGTGAGGTGAAAGGAGTGCTCACACTCGGTGTGAGGTGAAAGGAGTGCTCACACCCGGTGTGAGGTGAAAGGACTGCTCACACCTGGTGTGAGGTGAAAGGAGTGCTCACACTCAATGTGAGGTGAAAGGACTGCTCACACTCGGTGTGAGGTGAAAGGACTGCTCACACCCAGCCCCACCAGTGTGCCCAGGCTGCCACAGCCTGTGCCACACTCACCTCGCCAAGGTCAGGCCGATGCCATTGTCAGCAAACCTGCCAAGAGAAGAGAGGTGTGTCAGAAGAGATTTGGGGTTGCTTTGGTTTATCACGTCAAACTGTAACAAGCAAACTAGGGGAGGAAAGCAGGGATTAATTACTGTACAGTGCTCAGGGGAAACTCGGGTTTTTCCAGACTTGTTCCCTGTCCAGTTTTAGAAGATCTCTTTTGGCACGTCTTGCAGAATATGCAGATCACATGAAGCAGCAGACACACACCTGATTGCTCCAGCTGGGGTTAAGATGGGGATTGCTAGCCATAGTTTACTTGTCTGATAAAGCTTTATCTCTTTGTCTAATGATCACACACTTTTGTCTGGTAGATAAAAAAAACATGCTTTTCTCCCACTCTAACCAGCTTTTATTATTTAATGGTGCTTTGCCTTACACACTGTGCTTCCATGTCTTCATGCTTCACAAACTGCTTCCACAAAAGAGCTTTGCAAGGGATAAAAAAAACCAGTTTGGCTTTTCTTTCTTCAACAGGAATACAGAAATCAGAGCTTCCTTATTAAAAATAAAAACAAAAATTTGAATATCTTTCTATTTTGCTGAAATTTCAAGGTAAGATAAATCGCAGATGTTGGTCCTTGACTCCTGCTTAGGGAAATGCTACAGCTAATTGATAGCTTGAGTCAGTCTTGATGGTGTCTTCACACCGGCATCACTTTCCACGTCTGTCACTGGTGCTGGCAGTGGTTTGGGGGCAGATCCCCTCACTGTGCTGCTGTCTGTAGGTGGCAGCCCTTCCCACCCGATCGACCCCCTGCTTCCCTGCAGGCCACATTAACGCTGGCCCTGTTAATGGCATACATAAGTCTTTCTGTAGCAACAGAAATGGAAATGGCTCTGGCTATAAAGACAATTACAGTTCGATGTCTGCTTCCTCCAATTCACACACGCTCAGAGATTTGCTGCTGGAAACTCATAAAGCACTTGGTGTTTTATCACCCTCCACACACTGCGTTTGCTCCATCAGTAATGCAAATGTCCCAGTGACCCAAGGGGGATCTGTGAGGACAACACTTGCTGGCCGTGGAGCGGGGTGGATTCTTGTGGGTCATAACAAACACAAACTCTATTGCTCAATATGACATTTCTGAGTGTTGTGCTACAGCTCCACTCTCAGCAGGTCACCATTGCCAGCTTATCCCACTGGTTGCTTTGAGAGGTTTGGGTCACTCAAAGGCAAGGCAGTTCTAGCTGAGAATTGGACCAGGTATCAGCGTGGCAGCCATTCCCACAGGGCTATCACAATATGCCCGTGAAGGGGCTCCTTCCTTTTTCTCCACTTCGTTAGGATTGATATTGGGAGCCTGGCTCAGAAACAGAAACTGCAGCAGATCATCTGTTTTCAAGTGCAAAACAAATATCTGCTCTGGCCAGTGCAGGAAATGGCCTTCAAAGAGTACAACCTGCACTTGCCCAGACTCTCTCCCTTGCTGCTGTGATGCATAGTTTTATGTCTGCTTCATCAGTACCTGCTTATTCAGCATTACATTGAACCACATAAAACTGATCTGTGACCAGGCTGAGCCAGGAAAGGAGGTTCATTTCACTGTTTTCTTTTCAAAGCACCTCATTTTTCATGTAAAAAAAAAAAAAGGTTTTTTTAGTTTTAGTTTTTTGCTTCTGTGTGTCCCTGTGTGTGTGTATTGTGACCATTTATGATGGTCAGCATCACATAGAGGAACAACCTGAGGGATCCTCAGATCAGACAAAGCAGGTTTGTGTAAAATAATGCCTGTGGTGGCTTAGCATTTCATCTTCATTTCAATCTTGGCCATATGAAAGGTGCAAAGCGATATAAATAGTCTGAACCACAGCTATGCTCGCCATAAACACCAGGCTGAACTCTGAGAGTTGAAATAAGGCAAAACTCACTGGCAGTTGTCCAGCCACACATCTCCACCTCGCAGCCAGGCCCCGTGATCCTGATTCTTGTAGGCAATAAAGCGCTCAATTATTGCAGGTTCCCTGGGCTTCAAAGGATCAGCATCCTTGTGTGGGCTGTACCTGCAAGCAGAAGGAGAGAGGAAAGGTTGCTTGCATGGCCCTGCTAAACCTCTGGTTTATTGGAACTCAGGAACAGCTTTGGGACCACAGTCCATCCACGTAGCGTGTCTGCTCAAGCTGTGATGGTCAGACCCAGCTGCCAAGGGAAGGAAGGTCCAGGCAAGGCAGTTCTAAAGACCTACTCCAAGTTTCCTTTCACCTTTCTGGTATTGTATTGCTGATATATTGCTGAAAGCATGGAAAGTTTATTATTGCTCCCAAAAGTTCCAGATATTTTTTTTAATCCCTGACTGCTATCCTTTAGCATGTTCCTGTTATTTAGATAAATATCCTTTTGTTTTCCCTTTTGAGCATTCTTATCTCCTAACTCTGGCTATACTGTGGCCATGAGTACCACTGCCAAATTTTTCTTGCTGTGGAAAGGAATTAAAGAATCTTGGAGAGGGGCTGAGAGTATGTCCTTCACTACTCCCACTACACAGGACACACGTACAAGATTTATTAACCCTGAAGCTCTCAGTATGATGAAATATTGGTCTGATTTGGTGAAAAAAAAGCAGACAGAAGCAGAAACTGCAGCAATGTGTGCCCTCAGCTGCTCCCTGACAGCTACTGCTTGGGCCACAGGATCTGAGCAATGTGATGCTAAGCTTGGCTGTCACTTACCCTGTCCTGAGACACCACGCTCCTTTCTGCTGTTGGAGGAGCATCCTCCATCACACTACACAGCTTAGAAAACCTGACAGATGAGTATCCAACTCAGTGCCAGCAATGGATGGTCCAGAGATTAAAATTCATTCCTCGCCATGGATAGCGAGGCCAAGCTGTCAAATTGCTAACAGATATTCAATAGCACTTTGCTTTGCTTAATAAGCCATCATATCAATCTAAAACTGAGCATCAGGCTGATAGGGTTCCAATAAATGAATATTGCTTTGGCAGCCTCATCACTGTGAATTTACTTTCAGAGACAGATTTCGTATCAGCTCTTGTGAATTCCCCAGGCATTGTTAAGTACAGATATTTAGAGATGAATTCCAATTTCATTCACATCCATGATAACTGCAGGAACACTACAGGGTCCAGAATCTGACTTGGACATTTAATGCTGTAACTGAATGCAGAATAATCTCTTCATTTCTGTCACTGTCCAGCCTAGCTCACAATTTGCTCCAGCCAGCCCAACTTTAGTCATTTATTCAGTTCAGCCTTGACACATGAAAAGTGGAAAATGGAAGAAATTATCTGAGATGCAGTTTATGCTGGTGGCTAATCCCTGAGCACAACCAAGACTGCAGTATGAATTGTTTGGCTTCCAAGGGCCATTCCTGCCCTTGTATGGCAAGGGAGAAATTGCCTTTTGTAACCACTAACTGCTCCTGTGGCAGCAGGCAGTTCCTCAAGGCACGTGTTCAGCTGCATGGAGAAGCAGCATCAGGCTCCCAAGAGCAGGCTGCCCTGCAGTTATTTTATATATATTATACTTATATATATTATCACATAAGTACTCCCTGTTCAAGCAGATTCTGAAAGAATTAACAAAATCAATAACATTCCCAAGAAATACTTAAATTTCTTATTCCTAAGAAACTCTTGCAGTAAATTCTACCCAGAGGGACTGTTGACCAGGCAGTGAATTTTCTTCCTTATCTAAAAAATTCAAACATCAATGGAACACCCTAGAGCAGATGCAATATCCACGCCAGCTTAGCTCAGAGCTGAAGAACGAGGATGAAACCAGAAGGGTGTGGGTGTTGAGGGTCCCTTATAAAAGAGAATGAAGAGATGAAGTCAGAAATGGCAAAGTGTATCTAAGTGAAGACCTTTCCTCAAAAAGAGCCACCCCAAAGGCTTTGCAATGATTCTTGTGAATTTCCTTGGGGCAATTTTATAGCTTTCAGTCAGTGTTTTAGAGAAGTCTTTTCCAAATCAAACTATGCAAAACACTTTACCTCCCAGAAATCAGTGTCAGGATAGGTCTTTTGTCCTTGGCAGAGGCTGGGGTGGTTTTAACGCCATTATCGATGATCATTCCAGCCTAAAGTAAAACAGAAATGCATTTATCACAGTATTTATAAATTGTGCTGCTCTTTTCATCTCCAGTCTCTACCTACAATTGTTCTAAGCCCAAATCACCCACATGATGCTAAGAACAGCTTCTGTTAATAACAAGTGAAACAGAGGGCTGCCAGGACTACCCAGACTCGCATATAACACCCAAAACTGCTGCAAATTTCCAAAGCTGCACTTTTCTCATAACTGCATGTATTCCCATGCACCTAAACCTTCTGCTTCACTCTAAAGCCCTCAGTAACACACAGCCCCACAACATGGCACGCTAAGGAGTAAATAAGCAGAGAAGGCGATTAGACACGCAGCCGTATTTATCCCTCTAGAAGCTGTTCAGTTAATTGCCAGCATTGGCAGCTGAGGTGTATAATTAGACAAGCTGCCAGCAGATGCTCCTGGAGGCAGTATTTCAGGAGCACAGAGGCAAGGCAGCAGCCTGAGCAGAGGGGAGAGGCGCTCTGGATGCCCAAGAGCCAAGCGGAGCAGGTGCTGGCTGGCTCCGAGCGCTCCCATGCCAGCCCACGAGCTGCCTTATCTGCAGTACACAAACAAGCGTGCAGGAGTGGAGTGGAGCAGAAAGCCCAGGCAGTAATAGCTTGCAGGCCCAGGGAGCTGAGCGAGGAGATGGTGTTTGTTCTGAGGGCAGCGTTCCCGTTGCGTGCAGACTCACCCGGTAGTTGGAATGCGCGCGGTTGTTGGAGAATTTCCCCATCGGCATGTGCTCGGAGTAGCCGGGGGAATACATGCCTGCCGAGGGGCCTGTCGGCACATGGTGCAGGACAAACCAAAAGCCTGTTTCCTGAGAGAGACAAGGGACATCTGAGACTTTGCTGGTCTGCACTAGCCCCAGGAGAGCTCAGCAAAGCCACGAGACGTATGCCAGGAGATTTCAGGACAAATCACAGCCGTTGTGTGCAACGCTCTGCAGCAAAGAGCTTAATGCACGTGAACATTGACATTCACCCTTCTGATCTTCAGGGTGCCTTAGGTCAAGTTTTGGCTTCAATATTGAAGCAGAAGTGAGACTTTCCAAACTTAAAAATCAAATAATTTTTATCTAGTTGCCTAAATATGTATCAAGGAGTCCTAATATAGGTACTCAAGGTTTGGAAGCCTTGGAAAGACCACATGTCTCTGCTTGAGGCTTGATTTTCTTGTTTTTATGTCTCAGGACAATAAGGGCTCCTGATGTGACCAAAAATGCCTGTGGAATTAGCATTAGGGCTGACTGAAATTTCAGGACACCATTACTGTACTGCAATCAACAATATCATTGCCAAAAGCTTCTCTGTGACTCCACAGTCACATTTATTAAATTTATTCAGGCTGCATGCTGTGGAATTTTGTTAAATCCAGTTCTAGAAATGGCAAGTGACAAGAAGTGTGGAGCAAAAGGAAAACCATTATTTTTATTAGTGGCACCAGCCACATTAATGTGTGTCTCAATCAAGCAGCTTCAAAAATGTCTGTGTCACAAAAGTAGGTTTTATTTCAGTGAGAGCCTCCCTCAGCCTTGCATGGCTGTCCCTGGCCTGAGCTGTTACCAAATAAGAAACTTGTGCACTCACTTCAGATCCAGCAGCTGCACAGTTTATAAGGTTGTTGTGTGGGTTGGCTATCCAGAAGGTGGATACAGCACTGCAGGTCAGGAAAACAAAGAATAACACAAAAATGACACTTTGAGCACACACCAGAGTCACCCATAAACTCCCCCAGTGCAGGCAAGGGCTGATACCTCCCCAGATAAGGAGTCCTGCCTAGGGGCAAGAGGAATGTGTTTTTTCTTTCTCTTCTCATACCTCATGTCCTCTGTGGTTTGACAGAGAACGTGGCCTTATCTTTTAAAACACCAAGTATTAAATGAGGAATTTCGACTGGGATTCCAGGCCTGCTATGAAGCTGTCAGATGTCAATCATGTTTTATGATAAGGTAAATATGTTGTTGCACAAGTCACAGAACTTTGCCCCCACATAAGCCCTTGGGTTCATTAGAGACTCATTTAACCAAGGAACCCAATGCCTATTAAGGGCTTTCCAAGTGTACCCCTGTACCTGCTGCTGCTGTGATTGATTAACTTTATTTGCTCCCACCCTCCTGCACATTTCTTTTGGGACAAAAGCATTCTATTTGTCTAATGCACATAAAAGACACTTAATTGAAAGATTCCCATCAAAGAGGACAGATCAATCCATCCATCATTGTTCATCTTGTGACATACAGAATTCATTAACCAACAGGCACAGGAAACATCCAGCACTTACAGCCAGCAGACTGGCCCCTAAATTTGCTGGGTGAGATTTGCCCTTCTGCAGGATAGGAACCTATGGAACCTTTATGTCTATTTTACTCTTGGTATGAGGGACTTCACAGGGCTTTAGGCCAACTGATTTTGCTGATGCATTTCCGTTTGTCTGACTTTATCATGAAAACAGCAAAATTTTTCTATTTTGGGCATGGGACTGGCCTAGAAATAAACAAATTTGGATTACTTATAGACCACCTCCTGCTGCGCAGGGAAGGGCAAGGACAGTGTATTTCCACAATGACCTGCCTTTCATCCTAATCCCATTCTTCAGAGCCACATGAATTGGGCAGGTTACGGTGTCATTTGGCACAATCCTGTTGTTTTAATTCCTAGCAGCAGCTCCCTGCCTGCCTCTCCCAAGCTGATGGAGCCACAGCTGGTGCTCATCCCCTGTCCCTGCCCTGGGATTAGTGTTCGTGTACTTGTGCACTTCCAGGCTGGATAAGCCCAGTGCTAAACAAGCTGAGCTGTTTTTCTGGTCAGACCTTGAATTCTTTTATAAAGGAAGACAGGACAGATCAAAGTATCATAACACTTTTCCATTAGAAAGGGCTCATTCATGTAACAGTCTTCAAAATGACACACAATATATGTCCCTATGCCTATTAAATGAATTATCAGTGGAAAATGAGCACAATGGCTAAATAACCCTCATTTTAAGAATGGGGACATTAGGTGTATTTTATAAACAAACACAGATGTGAAAAATTGCATTAATTCCTCTCTCTCCCTTGCCAAACTAAAAAGTTAAAAATATCTTTGTTTGAACAAAACCTCAGTTTTTTTTCTGAGGACAAAATGGATGATACTGAAATCTTTTCAAAATCAGTTGCTATTTCAGATGAGCCATCAAGTTCAGGACTCCGCAAGGCAGGGCTGCACACTTTGAAAGAGAGATTTACAATATTTTAGGTGGGAGAATTATACCCTAGGTCTGTAGGCATCTGAATAGCACAAGGATAAAAACCCCAAGGAAACTGCTCTCCCAAATGTGGGAGAGCCCAGCCCAGACCCCTACAGATGTCTACTCAATCACACACACAGAATGCTGTCTGTTATGGCTAAGTCCTGCAAGGAGAAGGAAGAGAAAAGGAAGGCTCCCACTCACCTACAGTCCTGCCTGGGCTTAGGGATGTACCCTGGGTAAGCTCCCTCTGTGATCAGCTTGCACATCCTGCTGTCTCGGTCGGAGGGGAGCAGGGTGCTGGGTTTAACCAGCAGCCCAAGGCAGTGGTCAAACGTGTTGCGCTCTTCTGGTCCGTCCTCCGTGAAAAAACAATGGCCCAGAGCATCATAACCCACCACATCCTTCACCTGCATGAACAAAACAAAGGGCAGTGTTAACGTTTTATGCTTCAGCCACTGCACAATTAGAACAAACTTTAGTGTGATGGCACATAGGAGCCTCAATACCCTTTTGAACTCAGGATCTATAACCAAAACCAAAAGCAAGATCCCTCTCAGCCCTTAAGAGCTTATAGTCTAAGCAATAACTCTAACACTTAATTAGAATTTGTCATCACCTAGGAAATGCTCATTCCATTCTTTTGTTTGCCTGTGAAATCGGAGACTGTCTTAGCATGAGGCTGGAAAAATCACAGGGTGGGGGATGAGGAGAGGAATTAGATGTTCAAGTCACATCTGGGCTCATTCATCTTCATGTGGAGTTACATGAGCAGCTACATAAAATGCAACCCAAAAATGCAGCTGAGATGAAAAAATATTTTTCCAGGCTATCAGAGAGGTAGGAGGTTGTTTTCCAGACAGGCTGGCTTGTTTTAGGTTTGACCTGGTATTTTTTTTCCAAGTTGTTGACAGAAGATTTGCTTGACCCTGAGACAAATCAGCTGGTGTTAATCAATGCTGTTCTGATTTTGGTTTGGATGTTGTTAACATCAGGACACTGTTGGTTGGACAGAACAACACCCCTCACTCACACTGCTGGAAGATCTGAGAGCGGGAATGTGAGTTTGAAGCCTAAGGATAGGACAAGATGGGAAGCAACAGCCCTTGGACACACAGAAAGTCAGTTGTCAGTGGATATATCTGGCACATAGAAAATTAATTTCAGATCCCCATTGACAAGGGGAAGGTCTGGATCTCCTGGGCTCTTTCCTTGCTATTCCCATCAGCCACCACCCAACAATCACCTTGGACTCAGGAAACCTCCCTAGCGAAGGTTAACCTGCCACAAATGTGTTCCTCAAAATGCTTCTGATGGAACAGCAACAGCCAGGGGACAAAGGACAGTATTAACCTGGAGAGAAGACCTGTTCATGATGCTGTCACAGAGACCAAGTGCTTGGGCATTCAAGTGCTTGAACTGCTTTTATAAACAGCCTTGAGACATCTTTGTCACCTTCATGCCTCATTCCTGGGGCAAGGAGCACCAATTTCAAATGAAATCCCAGGATTAGTGTTGAAATGATTACAAATATGTTTTCACATGAGAACAAACATGCTGATTGCCAAATCTATTACTGGCTTACAACCACACAGACTTCTGTTATGTAGCATCCATGCTCCAGTGTAAATACTCGAATCTCTGAGCACAAGTCATCACAGTAAATTAAACACTGCTAAAATAACCTGCAAAATGATACATTCCATTGAGCTACCTCATTGAAATTCGCTGCTAACTTCCCTGGCCTAATAAAACGAGAGATTTTGCAAGGTTTAGCCTTCTTTATTTAGGTGTAAAATATATGTACTAAACTGTACCCTCTCAGAAGAATGAACTATCCCAGCCTTGTTATGATAAAGGCTTACAGGACAGAACATTTCAGGAGTGAGCAACATTCAGAAGAAGGTTTCCAACATGTAGAGGAAGTCTTTTAACCACAGAGATGTCCGAATTCCACAGAAACTGCCACTGAATCCTATTAGCTTTCTCTCACAGGACAGTAATACCAAAAAGACACATAAGCAATGGTGTTGGGACAATTAGATGATGGAAGCAGTTTCCCTAGAGAAATGTTTGCCACTTCAGCCATTTATCTTCCCAGCTGGCAACACTGCACCAGGATAGGGACATGGAAACTTGCAGTGACCAGACTCAGCTGGGGCAAAGCAGGGGAGTGCTATCCCAGGGGATCACATCTCCCAGAACAGTGAGAGAAAACAGGAGCAGGCTGAGAGAGGACTGTGCACTGGCAGAGAGGCTCAGAGCCAGCAAACGCCTGTTGTTGTCCTAATTCATCCCTGAAAGCCCACAGAACAAGAGGGAGTTAGCAACCAGGAATCTGGTCCCTTAGGCATTTGTCATCCTCTCTTTGATTAATAATTTCCCCACAAGCCATCTCTCAGTCTCCTCTAACTTGTTTCCTGTGCCTGTTTCCATGAACAAGCCCACTACTGAAATGCTTGGATAGCAAACGAGATGCCTGTTCCAAAACCATCCTTCTAATGTATTCAATTTTTCTTTGATTAAAACCTTGCTAATAGTCCATAATCTTACATTAACCATGGGTAATTTAGAGCCAGATAATGCCCTTCCTGGCAAAACAATTGCTGTGAAAAATAGCTGGCTTAGTAAATGCAGATACCACTGAAGCTGTTAGCACAACCTCTTATTCCATGAGGTGCAGGTCTCCCCTGGATCCTGCCAGACTATTTACTGACCCCCATTTAAATCCCTTCCCCAGTGGCTGCTTCTACTTTAGCCTTCACACTGGGATCCAATGGAGAGGGTGGGAATCAGAGCAAAGTTTCATCCCTGGGATTGCAGTGGTGTAACTAGGTGGTTTTTTGGACAATATATTGCAGAAACATTGGGTAACTATTGCATTTTAAAACAATAATTATGGTGAGAAACTCATTTTTAAAGATTTGTTTCCAGAAGGACCCACTGTGCCCCTCAGCTAACATAAATTTACATGCAAGTGCAGAATAATCCTTCAACGAAGTGAGCTAACGTTGAGACAGCTACTCCTAACAGACTGTGCAGACCCACAGATAAACACCTGTCATCAGAAAAAACTGGATACTCTTTTCTCCTAGGCTTTTCAGTACCTATGAGTATCCATGAAGTGACATGAGAAAAGTGGCAGCAAAGCAAGCAGGAGAGCCTGTATGTAAATTACCTGCCTGCTTTAATGACAGTAAAAAACAACTGATACTCCTCTCCCATTTATTAGAACATTTGAACAGGTGCTCTACAACACTCATGCAAGAAGCACCTCTGAAACCAACAACTTAATGTCAAGGACATCATTAAGTGCTGTCCTACGCTGAGGTTAAAATATCCAGCTAGAATTTTTATGGTTATTTCCAAAGTGTGTTTTGTGCAAAAATTCATTATCATTAAGGCAAATTTTCCCTCAGCAAAGTTCACTTTAGATCAACTTGATCTCTGAGGGAAAGAATGATACCTGGGGAAAGACAGAGCTCATCTGTGTTTGCATGAATGGTGCTCTTGCATGTAGAAACAGGTGGTGCTGCCCAAGTAAAAAGATGATAAGCAACTGGGAAATGTATATAACTGCTGTAGTCATCAGAGCCCACTGTGGGTGTCTTTGAATGTATGTGGGGGAGAAGGAAGAGGAAAGGAAGGAAATTAGAGTCAGAATGCGGATGAGGAGATTGTGGTGGGATCACCTGATGAATCAAGGCAGGGAGCTGCTGACTGCAGATGTGTATCAGAGCCATAGAACAACACCTAAGTGATGCAACACGGAGCACATTTTCTGTGATGTAATTGAACAAACTTGATCAGATTGCTTAGTTCACTGGGGCTTTCCTTTCAGCCATCAGAAATAATGATAAGGTTAAAAAAACAAGACAAAACAAGTACAGGTAGAGCTTCATATTCACACATTTTGATAAACTGAAATCAATAGGGATTATATTGACTAACTAATGTCCTAAATTTTAAGATTTCTCTTGGGTGCTTTGTCATGGAGGCAAAGTATGATCACTTAGGGCATTGTGGTTGTTCAATAACAGCAAGAGAATCAAGTTGCTTTCATCAGCTACATCAGCCTGTCCAGATTTCACTCTGCCATCTTGGCTGGAAAAGCTTGAGCACATGGATTTCTACGCCACAGATCCCCCATGGCACAGTTGCAGCCCAGAGAAAGCACAAGAGACAAAATTACTTCCAAATTCTTTGCATGAACCCATCCATCTGACTGATAAGAAAAATGCCAGGCTCTGGGTATTTCGTTTGGCAACAGGGAATGAAGATCTGACATTGGATCCAGAGGAGCTGCAGCTCATCAGCAGCTGTGCAGCCAGATGTTTATGGTGCCACTGGTGACAGCCCATCACAGTGTGACAAATGAAACCTGCAATGCTGCACTGCCACCCTGCACATTAATTGTGTATTAGGCCCCTCTGCTGGCAGCTTCAGACTGGGCAAATGCTTCATGACCCTGAATGACTTATATAATTTATACAGTAAAATGTCTCTCTAATTCAGAAAGCATGGTCATTTGGTCGGTTTTCAAGATCATGTTATAAACTTAGAAGCACAGAGGCCAAACCCAAAACCTCAGATTCATAAATAGCAGATAAAAGCTGCTCTGCTTCTGAAACTGCAATTTAAGTGCCCTTTGTTCAGATTCTGTGCATTTTAATTATGCCTGGGACTCTCCCTTCCAATGCTGGCACTTCTAGAGGTATGAACTCCTAATGCACAGTGACCATCCAGCTTACAACTGCCAATGATATGTTTCCTCTTAAAATTCTGTTATATATAGCAACAGGGCTCTTGACAGTACAAATTCTCCTCTTCAGGGCTTGGATACGCTTTTTCCTTTTGAAAAACTGCCATTTCACTGACTGGGTAAGAGTTCTTTGCCTAGAAAAGCCCTGCATCTTTAACATTTCCTTCTTGAAGATCATCCAGTCCCCCTGGACACTTCTGCCCTTCAGGACCTGCCTTTCAAGCAGGTTCCCAAACAGGCCAAACTCTGCCCTCTGGAAATACAGGGCTGTTCTGCTGAACCCCTCCTTACTTCTCTAAGAATAGAAAACTGCTATAATTTTGTGATCACTGTGCCCAAGAGAGCCTCTAACCATCCCATTACCCACAAGTCCTCCTCTGTTCACAAACAACAGGTCCAGCACCCTTACCCCAAAAACAAAGGCACCTCTAGATCTGGGGAAAGTCTCAACATGTCCTTGACATCTGTGGTGTGCTGTAACTTGTCTGGTAACCACCAGTCATTCTAGAGATTTATCCTAAAAGACTTCTTGTTATGGAGTGCAACTCAAGCAAATCACAGCTCTGTGAGTGCTTAATGTTATGACTGGCATTGCAAACCTAAACCTTTATTACAGGAAAGATGAGGCACACTTAAAGCTTCTGATTATCCTCTTTAAATAGAAAACTGTGTCTACAGAAAGATCCAACCACTCATTAGAGATGGGCTGGTCTGTAGACACTGCAGTACCCAGACAATGCTCTGCTCACTCACAGTCACACACAGCCCCAATGCCACACTGGCAGGTCGAGATACTCCTTATTTATCCAGGGTGGGAAGAGTCAGGCATTGGTTTTAACAACAAAACACATCATTCTGCAATAATCAAGCTCTATTCATGCTATGAGGAAGTTTTTTTTGCTGCTGCCATTATCTCTAAGGCAGACACTGGAACTTCTTACCAGTAAACCATTGGATCCATGGACTGTGACACAGCGGGAGAAGGTGTTGTGGATGGAGGTATCCTTCACATATGTTGGAGGGTTGTAGCCTCCTTTCTCATCCACATCTCCAGCCATATGGAAATGAATTGGGTAATGCCCCATTGTCTGCTGGCCCATGTATTTCAGTTCTAGACCTTCAATGTGGGTAGCCTTAAAATCAAGACCAATCTGGAGAACAAAAGAAGAACAGTCAAGAAGCACACAAGAGAAACACTCTCCCACTTTTGAGGGCAAGGAGAGGGAACACAGGCATAGGAAGGGTTGCACTGTATCTGCTGGAAAGATTTACTGTGTGGAGGGAAGTGTGTGGCTGCAGGGCGAGGGAGAGAGGGGCATGGTGGCTACAGAGACCAGAACTGCTCTTCAATTTCCCCACAGCTGCCATAGACACATTTAACTTAATTTTAGAAGATAGCAATTTATGTTTATCATTGTCTGTGGGTTTCAGCCAGCTGGGTTCAAATCGAACTTCCTGGGCTAAGCACCACCAGAAATCTAGGGAAAACTGGGATTGGGATGTGGAAACTTTATCTCAGGTGTGTTGATCACCAGCCTCACTGGCTGAGCAATGTCTGCAGGGGCATGAATGCACTTCAAAGCCAAAGGACAGGCAGCAGCTAGAGGGTGGATCTGCTGTGCTGTGGGGAGAGGCTGTTTGCTCAATGCCTGATGAGGAATTTTTCCCTTCCTGCATCTTGGCTTCCTTGTTATGTGAAGGTGTGACTGGGAGGAGGAAAGGACAAGCAAAGGGCTCCAGCCTTACCTTGATGTGTCCCCCAAAGGTGTCGAAATCGAAGAAGGAGCACAACTTGTTGCTGTACTCGTAGCACTGCTGCTCCATCTCTCCCATCACCACGACGTTGCGGCTCAGCAGCCCCACTTCTGCCCGCATGTCGACACCATCGACGACCTCGCCGACGTGCAGGTATGTGGCTTTCCCTAAAGGAACCAGATCCAGTTTCAGGATTACTCTGCCAATGCTGCTGGCTTCCCGTGGGCTTCCTGTGGTGGGGCTGGCTTGCTAATGAAAGGAGCAACCGAGTCAGCACAAACTGTTGGCTGACACCTCAAAAGAGAGAAGGCTGGAGCACAGGTGACACCCAAGGTCTTGGTGAGACATTTGCAATGGAGGAAGTGGGATTTTTGGTCTTAGGTTGCTTCATTTATCCAGGGAGTTAAACCAACAGTCTGTTAGACAAAACACATTTCCTACCTTGAAAAGGAACTGCGTACTTTGGGTTACAACAGTCTGTGTATCAACATCCAATCCAAAAATCCTTGATGATGCAGCTACTGAAAAGCCTGAATCACCAAGGTTAGCACAGCATGTCCCACAGTAAGATATGGGGAGCTGCTCAGACCCACAGTAGTACTCTCAAGCAAGCATCAGATCCTGCTGACACCATGGCTGTTGATGCAAGCAAGGAGCAGAGTTGGCAGAAAGGCTCATAGGAATTGTGGCTTGGGACAATCACAGCTGCTCACCAAGTTTATGGGCTGTAAAACTTCCAACTCCCTGTCCTCCCAAACCTCTCCATTTTAGATCTATCCTCACATCTCCAATTTGCCCCCAAGGCTTCCTCCTGCCCCCGGTGTTAATGAGATCTTCCATGCCACACCTCCCTTTTCCAAGCCAACTTGCTCATAACATCTTCCACACACACCCTCCTCCATGGAAGGGTTAAAAGCACAGAAAACATTCCCTGGCCTGACCAGAAAGAGGGGAAGTCCAGGCAGTGGGGATGTCTAGAAAGCAAAGCATCTCTTTGCTGTAATTTCATTCAAACATATTCCTAGTACCTCCTTCCTTCCGCAGGTTTTTGCAGAGAAAAGTCAGCTGGGAAAAGGTTTATCTTACTGACTCCATTCTGTATTATTCCAGTAAAAATAAGTAATAAACTCTTTAAGTAAACACTGAACTTTAAGGAATGCTACACTTGCATGTATTTAATTTCCATGGAATCGTTCAAATCCTTAATTAGAAACAAATGGCAAGCCTGAAGCCTGGATATGGCTGCAGAGCGCTTTATGCTTAAGCAGAAGTGCCAAGTCAAGGGGAGGATTTTGAACACTGAAACAATATTATTTTTAACCAAAACATGATGCTTTGAGTGTATAAAAAAAATAAGCAAACACCATTCACTCCCTCTTCTCCTGAAGCTGGAAGCAGTGTAGTTTGATGGCAATATGGGATTTGGGAAGGATGAGTGCTCCACCCTTCTCTGAGACTGCTGTGTTGTGGAACAGGGCTCACGCCTCAACATGTGCCTTCTGCCTTGGCACCTCTGCCTTCAAAATCATCTGATCTTGTGAAAAACACTCTCTGTAAACTAGAGGTGATGGCCAAAGAGCTGTACACTCATCTCAGAAATGAGGGGCTGCAAGGGACCCTGGATTTGCACCTCACCCACTTCTGCCATTGTCTTCCCAGAGAGTCCTGGCATTACCCAGGCCGTGCTGTTGCCCTGCAGCCAGTGAGCCTCATCAGCTGTGTGGCCAAAACCAGACTGAACCCATCCAAAAACCAGCGGCTTTGCTTTCTTTATTCACATACACAAAAAGAGCCACTACAGTGAGTACCCTCCACATGAGGATTCTCTATGCTGGAGCCTCGAGTGAGTCTGTAAAGGAGCACAGTTTCTCCTCATGGAACCATTTTTAAGCTGTTATTTTTCAGTTTTCCCCATAGCTGACCTCTCCTTGATTTACTGAAATGCAGGAAGAATTTTAGATAATCATAAGAACATACTATTTGAAGGCACATCTCCAGGATTTGTGGCAGTGAAATTAGATAGGCAGTTTTGTTACTCCTGTGCTGAGCTCTAGAATAATAAATGTCATGCTTGCATGTATTTAATTTAATTTAACACCAGTCCAGACATGCAAAACAGGGTAAGCACTGACAGGAATGTTAAATACGGACTAACCAGTTTCTAAATATAACTTCTTGGGTGCATGTTTTTCACTCCATGCTTTTGCTGATTTGACATGTTTGGAGATAAAAGGAGAGACGGAAAGCAATCCCCTTCCAAAGTAAAAGTGGATTTTGAATAATAGCTCCTTTAATAGAGTTTTGAAAAACAAACCACTTCTCAAGGCAGACAGAAATTTAAGCTCCTTTCAGCAAAGGGGCTGAAAGAAGCTTGTGGGAGACTGAGCCTGGCATGGGAGCCCTTGTGTGCTGTAAATGACTGCTGGGAACCAGCACTACAACCTCAGGCACTTCCATGGGACCAGGGGAAGTGAGGGGCATTTACAGACACGTGCCACTGCCAAGGAGCTGCCTGGGGTGTGTTTGGTGGTGGGCAGGAAAAAAAAAACCCACAAAAGAGTCTGCTCTGTGGTGAGTTCAAGGAGTTCACACGAGGATGGCAGCATCTCACTCTGCAGAGCTACAGGTTTGAAATTTGGCTGCTGCTCACAGCTGGCACATGGAGCCTTCCCAGAGAGCAGCCAGGATAGCTGAGACCCTGGGCACTGACCATGGGCAAGCCCCAGCCAGGGCTTTGCAAACGGGCACTGAAGTGGTTTGATACTAAAAAGGCAACCCTGTGCTTTGAAAGTGGGAGGAATGTGTTGCTCCTTCAGCAGCAAAGCCAGAGCTGTGATTTCCCAACAACTAACAAGCCCTGAGGCCACTGATTCACCTTCTCCTCCTCTGGGTTAGGGTTTGCTGCATCCCTCATGGACAGAGACTGCCCTGCCAGGCTTGTGCCATATTCTAATCTAAACCAAACACGGCCTTGCAGTGACACGGATCCCGCTCCCCACAGCAGCCCCGTGTGATGGACCAGGAGAAGCTCCCTGCCTGTGCTGCTGCATGTGTCATAGCACTGCCTCCAGAGAGCACAACGGCAATTTACAGGGCAAACTTCCCTAAAGTGTGCGCTTGCCTGGTGGAAGTCTTGATTCAGCAAAATATGAGCACATTTCCATGCTCGTTACTCAAGACAGTGACTACTGAAGTCAGCTGTTGGTAAAGACAAGGTAACTATTAAAAGGAAATATACATTAAAATAAACGTAGATGATCCACTCATCAAGATCATGCTTATGTCAACAAAGCAATTCAAAGCAGAGTTCCTCCAAATGCTACAAAGGAAAACCTGCCACATGTGAACATGAAACCTGGGTCTTGGGCCTAATCAAGGCCCTGGAAAGGGTGGGATTTTAAAACTATTTCAACTGCTGCAAATGTGGAAGAGTGCTCAGATCTGGTGAGCTAGATCTCTCAGAAAACCCTCCCAGGTACACTCATACATTCCTAAATCCCTTGGCTCCAAATGGCCCAAACTGCTAAATCTCCCTTTGAGAAGTGAAACCAGCACTAGAAGGTCTGGATTTGGTGAAGATAAAGTAAAGCTATAAAGTAAAGTTCTCCTGGAGTGAAGTATTTTTTTTCTCTAAAGAGCCTTTTCTCCTTTGGGCTCTCTAGGGTAAGACCCAGTGTCTCATTAAGATGTCTCATTTGATGTTTTCTAATCAAGATTTTAAGGGAAATGCTAAACACAATTTGTCTGTTCAACCCATGTGATCCATTGACAGTGAATCCTTCATGGCATCTTTAAAGTCAGTTCTACTCATTGCAGATGCCAGCCCAGATCTGACAGATTTATCATTTTTGCCAAGCACTTGTCATCACTGGTGGTAATGCCCTTATTGCTTATATTTAATAATAAACAAATGCTCACACCGGCATCTTTCAAATCCTCATTATTCTGAATTATCTTGATAATTCAAAATTATCTTGATAATTCAAACCCCTTTGCTGTTGCAACACTGAGCCACAGGCCTGTAACACAGCATGGTTTTGGTGAGCTGGCTGGATCCTTGAGCCTCACAGTATATCCTGATGTCCTAATCAACAAATATTCCTCCAATCCATAACTTTTACATGGAAAAATAAGTTTTTAGCAAATAGAGGTAGAGCAATCAGGCACAAACTCCAGCCTTATGGGCTTCTATGTAAACGTGATTGAGATTCTGTCAGCTCAGCTCTCAGGCAATGCCCAAAGGTAGAAGGAGCTCTGGAAGACTGTCAGAAAGGACAGTTTCACGTGATTTCCTGCCCTGCCCTCAAGCACCGGGGTTGCCTTAAAAGAAGAGTTTTGGGCAAGTTCCAGCCAAAATGATGCCAACTTCCAAACAGAACACCCTAAATCTCTAAAAATATCTGAATTTTGATAGTGGACTAAATTCTCCCATCCTTACAGCACCAGATGAATGCTGACAGGCTGTGTCTACTACTTATTTATTCTTTTAATTCAAAGTTCTCTGCATGAACAAGATCAGAGTAAACTCCTTATCTCTTTAATATTTGCAACCCAATAAGCAGGATTTTAAGAGAAGTGTGCTTGAATTCATAGCTTCACCAGTATGTGGGATAATTGGAGTAATTATGCCAGGCACAAATCTTTTTTTCATCCTTTATCATGAGCATATAGGAGCACAAAAGAGCATTTCATCATTTCTGTTCCATGGTGAAACTTATCAGCATTAGTAGAAACTTCATACGGAGCAACCCAGATGAAGATAAGACTTGTTTCCCAGGGAAACTAGACAAAATACTTGATCTTTCCTACTATCCAGTTCTATCATAACAACACAACCCTTCCTTCCTTCCTCCCTCTATCCTCCCTCCCTTTGCCCTGCCCTCCCCAAAACCTTGTGAAGCTGGAAGATCAAACAGTTTTAATCTGTTCCCACAGTGTAAATAATCTAGGCACAAAAATGACAAGCAAAAAAAAAAAAACAAAATAGAGTTAAACAAAGAAAGCAAGTGGAGGAAAAAGTTCCATTTAAGTGAGTGACCATTTGACTGGGAGCAGGACCTGCAGGTCTGGGTCCTCATGCAAACCACACTTACCCATAGGAGCCACAGTTTTTACATTAGGGCAGTTACTCCAGTAAAAGAGTGCAGAAGATCAGAGCCTGTGTGCCCTCCCTCACTTTCTACATTGAGGTTTGCAGATGTCCACAGTTAAATAACTAAATCCTCCTAGAACCTGATGGCAATTGAGTATTAACTCCCTTAAGTTCTTTTGAAAAGCTCTAATCGATCCATTTCTAGCCAGTAAAGAAAGTATGAGTTTCAGCAGGAAGTATCAAATATAAATAGGACATGAGCTAACTAATGAGTTTGACTTATTTGGCACAATATGCTAAACCATGTCTATTAAAATACTATTAAACGATGAGAGCATAAATTATATTAAACCTTGCCAAGTGGCTGCCACACCAAACTGGCTGCCCACAAAGAAGAGGTTTTCTGCTTTTTTTTATAACAAAGAGACTCTTAAGTAGTTCAGATCTGACATTTAGCTTTCATTTTAAAAATAAATAGAAAGGAAAAAATAAAGATTAAAAGGGAAATAAATCATCATGGGTAGGAATGGTTTTATCATTTGTCTTTCACAGGGCACTGGAGTTCTCAGCTGCTGAACTAAACCTCTTAGGAAAATTAAGCCTTTTCACTTATTACAAATGACACCCCTCTGAGACCCTGTATATAAATGTATGTGTGGAAGACTTTTCTCAGGAGGAGGAAAGCAATCTTGCCTACCTCCATAGCAAAAGGCAGGCAGACATTAATGGTGAATGTTCTTCTCCACCCAAAGAGAAGCCTGGCCCAGGCACACAAGGCCAGGCTGTGCCAGGGCTGCTCACCTGTGCTAAGACCAGGGGCCACCAGTGATCCTTGTTCTGGCTAATTACATGTCATGGCACAGGGCAGTGGATGGAGTTATACCATGGTCAGGCACAGAGCAGCTCAGGGACCTCCTGGCTCCTTGAGGCAGGGGACATCTCAGCCTTGACACGTTCTATTTCATCTAGATTGAACTTACATTCAGGCAGATTATTTTGTTTTCTAGTGCAAATGTGTTTTTGTTACAAGAAAGTTGGAAGTGATTTTTATAACTGGACTAAATTTTGCCTTGATTTATATAATCAGTGAAATCCCATTGACGTCAGTGGAGTTGCCTGGATATAAGAAAGGAGAGACTTTGGCCCTGGTGTTCGTGTCATTTGTGGTAATAAAAGGAATGTCCTAATTCTCCTAAAGAGCAATCGGAGACCAAGAGCACAATTGCTTTAACAAGTGTTTCCACTGCTTCTTTACTTGAAATTCACATGAATCTTTTTGTTGTTTTTAACCCATTATTTGTTTCCTTAAACTAACCTAGCTGTCACAGTTGCATGTGCTGAATGTGACTACATGAATTCCACAGATCCATTAGATTATGGGAAGGCCAAGGCTCCTATGCCATCTCTATTTTTACTGGAGATCTTCCAAGACCATCTTCATGATGTGACTTGTATCATACCAGTCTGAGTCCAACAGCTCAAAAGTTGCTCAAGAAAAATATTCAGCTTGGAAATGTGTCTTCTTTGAAAGCACTAGACACTTGAAATCATAAGACTATGATACACTCAGACTGTGAATAACATTTTTCTTGGCCTAGTGCACATCTCCAACAATGAATGGCCAAAGCTCTGTGGGGAAGCAGCTGCTAAAGGAAGTATATTGGTACCTTCCAGAAGAAGTTGCATCAGAGATAATGTTGAAGTGGCTCATTTCAGAGAACTGAGTGAATTCCCTGGTGCATTGGATGTTCCAAGTACCCTCATGGTTTCTCAGAAAGGTCTTACTGTAAATGCAGACAAGACATCTGCCTAGAGCAACAGCCAGTGTGCAGGCAAAGATAAAGTCACAGGCATGATTTACCACCAGGGAGATGCTGCTTCTGAAAGACAGCCTCATCTACTACAGACTTTTATACTGTAAAGTAATGTTTGCTTTTGTAAATTACAGAAGCAAAATAATCCACATCTATTCAGATAAGGGGCAGTTCATGTGCTATTTCCATGCTCTGCTTATCAGAGTGCCAAAACAAGGTTCTAGAAGGGAAAGACAACTTCACAGACTCAAGTGAAGATTAAATTTCCCACTCTGGATTTCAGTTTTATGCTCGTGCTGGTAATTGTCTGTGCTTCATCACGGTTATGCCTCTTAATTTGATTCGGTGTCCAGAGGCCCTTCTGCAGTCATTGGACTGCAAAACCTATTAATCAAAATTAATTTATTTTGCTTTTGAGCTGGTCACCTACAAGAGAAAACTGCTGGGGCTCTACAAAGGCTCTCACTCCTCCTTCTGAGGCTGGCTCTGGCAGCACCCTGCCACTCCATCTCCCCAGTGCAGAGGCTCAGGACAGCTCACTGGAATGTTTGGTTAATACATCACCTCTAAGCAATACTCTCTGGAGACACAGTAAATGGGAACCAGTAGCTTCAGTAGTACAAAACAGTATTTCTAAAATGTAAGATTACAGTTCTTGTTAAATAAAACTTAGGAAAGCAGCCAGCTGGAAATTACTTCATAGCCTTACAGTCTCTCAGAGTCTGCTCCTGCCCTAGCTCACTCTTCACATCAGCTGTGCTCATCTGCTTTCTAGGAAGTGGTATTTCAAATACAGTTATTGAAAAATATGAAATATATAACCTGTATCTGTTCCTCTTAAGTAAATTCACTCACTCAGTAGTGAGCCTGGGGACAAAAATGGAGTCAGCTATGAAAAGATGAGGCAGAAAGGAACCAAAATCAAGTTAGATGAAAGTTATGTATCCCAAAAGCATCTAACAACCAGCCATCAAATTCAGGTGTCTTTCAACATTTTTCAATTCCTCTTGGAGTCACCTCAGTGCAAATGGCAGAATTTGTGAACTGCAATGCCAGAGTGATAAGATGAAGCACCTCACCTGCTACCTTGACCTGGGTGGGCCTGCAGGTTCTGCAGGGCAGCACTTGGAACTCTTCTGCCTGGTACATGGAGTAGTCAGTGCTGGCCACCACCAGCCTGTCTCCAGGTTTCCAGGAGCTCACATCATCCACCAGGGTCAGGATGGTGCTGTTCACGTTGGTGTCAACAGTTACTGTGAGCTTTGGTTTCACTGAAAACCCAAAATGCAAGGGGGGAGAATTCAGTCAATCTTATCAGAAAGAACTTGCTTCTGTTTTCTTCCCCCCACATCCCTCCTTGCAGTGCCACCAAAAATTATAATTTTCTCATACTAAAAAGAAAAAAAGTTAACTCCTCCAAACATGTTTGTTACTGGCTTCGGCTTGGCAAGCAGGAAAACAGGAAAGTATTTTTCTTTAGTTGCAAGCAGGTGGATTTTCCACTAACTCCAGGATAAATTTAAATGTAGCTCTTAGTGGCTCATTCTCACCACACCCACTGAGCAGCAGCTCTTGTGGGGCTGGGTGCTGTTGTTTACAGCAGCCAAGTGGTCTTTAACCCAATGATGTTTTTTTCCAGCAAAACAACAGTCTGCCACCCTTCTTTCCCTGCCAGCAGCAGAAATCCTAATGATCTGTCGAATGACCAGGTTAAGGACAGTGGTGTTGGAATGATTAACTACAAAATGAAGTTTAAGTTTCAAACCCTGTTGTCTTCACACATTCTGATTGACTAATCCTACGTCATCCTAAAATGTTTTTGCAAAAGACAGGGAATTTACAGGAAAGAACTTGTCAAATATTTCCCACAGCCTTACTGGGTATTTTAAAAAACACCCTGCTGCTTCTGTTAGTGCTCAGGAATTTTTTCCTGAGATAAATCTTCAGCTGTTCTATCTGAATTTGTGTCCATGGCCCAGCCAAAGCTTTAGCTTGGAAAAATTACAGAAAATGTTCTGACACCAAGAAGGAGCCAGTCATGGGAGGACAGGATTTCTGCTGTTCTCTGTTCTGGCTTTCAGTGATGGGGCACATACCGGATTTGCCACACAGGAACCTCACTCTGTAGCTGCGGCAGCCCTCGCCCGTCTGGTCCTTGCCGTGGCACAGGAATTGGTAATCGTGGCCGCTCTTGTAGAAAACCTCCGTGGTTAAATCCGCTCCATCGAGCGTCATTGCCTGCAACGAGGATGGAGACACAGCCCAGGTGTTGCTGTGAGGTGAAGGGATTTCACCAAAACCTCTGAGCCATCAGAAGAGGCGTGTGCTCTGTTTTGGGCGATGGCACCACCGCTGCCTAACAAACCCCTGTGACTGTGCTCTCCAGCCAGCATTTCCAGCCGCTGCTCTCACACAGCCACTGCTTAGGTGTCTTTCTCCTGTGTCTATGCTGAGACCATGGGCTGTTCTGGGAGGAGTTTGTGAGCTTCACAAACAGCTGCCTTGGTGCCCTAGATTTCCTCTTGCCGTTGGTTTGAGGGCAGATGGAAACACTGAACACGAATGCTTCCACCCAGATGAACTCATGGCTTCAAGGCTCTGCACTCATTCCATTGCTTGTGGCTAGGCTCTGTCTGAGCCTTGCAGAAGAAAGGGGGTAGGGGTTTTATTTCTCCATTGCATGGATCAGTTTCAAAAAAAAAACCCAAGGGTGCTGCAATACTGCTGCCTGTTCCAAAAGAAACAGGGAGAAGTGGCCTTTTCTCACAGGCAAGCACCAGCCTGTAGAGCTGCCTTGAGAAAAAAGGCTGTATCATGCCAAGAAGCAGTAAGATACGTAATCTCTCTGGTGTTCCTGCTGGGGCAACATCTCAGGGTCATGTCAAATTTCACATTCTGTCTCTAGAGCTTGCATTTCTCTTGACCCTTTCACAAAAATGTGGTGCATTGCATCAGGCAATCCAAATTCCACATGCATTTTGGCAAGCACCAGGAGAAAAGCCATCTTTCAATGAAGGGTCTGATCCTGATCCTCCAACTCATGCAGGCTTTCTTTATTAATGCATCCACCCTATTCCTGTGTGTGGGATTAGCACTGCCAGCTGGAGGAATGTGCCTCTGGCTGTGCTGCTGTGCTTCTGTTATTATCATCATATCTTCAATTTTCTCCCATGTTCCAGAGCTGGAGCAGGCCAGCTGCTATAAATCAGCATAGCTTTATAAAAGAAATGAGCAGCACCAGATTACACTACCTAAGGATTTGCCCTAAGATCTGCAGGATAAACCAAGAAATGTCTCACTTTTAATATACGTGGGGAAATAAAAAAGAAAAAGTAACTTATTTCACAGAAGAGGAAAAAAAATGGTTTGTTTCTAGAGCAGAATATCTTTCTTCATTCTGTTTAACATGTATTCTAGATTCTTACATTTATTGTAAGAAACATCTGACCCCTGTTTTGAACTAAGTTGTCACCTCTAATACACATATATGGAAGCAGAAATGAATGTGGATATGGTAAGACCTGGAAGAAAATTATAGGGCAGTTTTTTCCTTTCTGTTCAAGAGAGATTCTTTATAACATCTAGCCATGGAAACTTTCACTCATACAGTCAGCATTCCCATTTGCTTCAATTGCCACATTCTTGTGAATAAGAACAACTCCACTGGCTCAGAGCATGAAGGAACCTTAGGCTCAGCCTCACACAGATGTGAAGGATTTTATTGTCTTTTTCTAGGCAATGCTTCTGCTATAGTATTTTTACCAAGTAGACATAAAAAGTATATGGTGAACATATACAAAAAAATACCCTCATTTCTTGCTGGGTTTTGTTTGAGGTTTTTTTGTCCTTAAAGAAGATTTTTGCAGTGCCAGAAAAGGTATCTGAGTGTTCCTCAGCATGCTGGCCTAATGGCATAATTATAATGGTTAGCTCCAAACAGAATTCAAATCTCTTTCCACAGAGATAAAACAATTAATCCCAAAAAATGGCTGAAAGCTCACCAGTATTTTTTGACAACCTGCTACAGCTGGTAGTTGCACTATCTTGTTACATTTTGTGATTAATTTTTTAGGTAGGGTCCATTCCAGGACCATTTAAAACCTTTGAAATTTTCATGTGCTTGCTCTTTTTAATCTTCCAGCAGGGAACCACATATTTCATGATAGCATCTGTGCTGTCCATGTCCCCATCTGTACACCTTTTCATGCCAGGAGCCAGAATTTACTGAAAGGAGCTCAGTTCTATCAGATTTGTCTCAGAACAATGTGAGACTGTACACAAGATCTTATTGGTTATGTATTAGAGTAGTAAAATAATTGGTGTACCTTACTTAGAAACAAAAATTACTGTCAAGCACAATTTTAGGGGTTCAGTGTCAGTCCAAAGAAGGCTTGCCCCTCTAAAGTGAGTGGTAAGCCTGCCTACCTGGATGTCAATGGGCTGCCTGCAGATTTTGTCAGGATGAGCAGCTTTGAAGTCAGACAGCTTCTCCATGTCCTTAGATCTTGCTTTGTCAGGCTTCTCAAACCACTCTGTCCATTCCACATCTGGAGACAAGTGCAAACAAGTATAGTCATTTGAAAGTCAAGCTTAATGAGTGCAGCAGAAATGCACGAAGCATAATATGATCTCGGATATCATTCACAAGTTTCTTCTCTGATGATCTGATTTGTGCCTCTTCCTGCCAGTCTGTCAGACACTTTTAATGATGCTGTGAAGTGCAACCAGCCAAGGGAGAGCAGAGTTATTAAAAGCTTCATAATTGGCGTGTGCACTGCAAGCATTAATAATAGATACAGATTTTGGATCTGTGTCTGCCTTAGCTGCCTTCTCTGATCTTTAGATCAAGTTGCACCAGTTACTGTGTGTTGTCTGAAACATGGACATGATGACTGTGCAGTGAAAAGAGGTAAGAGGTTGTGTGTGACCTCTGAGACTACAGGAGATGGAATTTCATACCCAATACAGAAAAGAAAAAAGGATCCCAGTTATTCAGAGGGTCCTAGAGACAACTGGGGAAAGAATCTGTGAGTGTTTGTTAACTGTGTTAGTGACAACATAAATAGCAGCTAGCAAGTCCAGTCTTCCCAAATGGCAAAGGCTTGCAGTAAAAAGGATGATTCATCCTGTTTGTCAGCTGTCTACAACCAAGTGAAATACCCCACACGCCCCTTACCTTGAACCCACTCGCTAGTCGAAGAGACGTTAAAATATTCTCCATTCTCAGCTTGGAATAGTTTGGATACTTTGGCCACAGCTGACCCTTTGTGACCTGTTAAAAAAAGCCAAACATTGGTAAAATCATTTAAATCAATTGGCAAAGTCATTGAATGCAATTGATAAGAGTAAGGACTGAAAATGTAATGGTCTGCGTGTCTATTTGCATATTTTGACTACGTTATTCAAAATTAGCCCTGCACAACTTCCAGAAAAAATTATTAATCTTGCAATAAGGCTTCAGATGCTTTTGTAACTGCATGGATAGTGCAAAAGAAAAATCTTCAAAAACCAAGAGAGGATAAAGCCCACAATTATTTGTCATATATTGCTATTTTTATTTAATTTTGTAGTAAGTTGTGTTGTTCATGTCATGAGAAGACAGAGTCTCAACAGTGTTCAGTTTGAAAGAAAATGGTTTCACAGGAGGATTAGTGGGAAGAAGAAATATATAGAGAGCATTCAATTAAATGTGTCAAACCATAAGTTGCTCATAGCTTCAATGTAATGTAGAGGAAAGTAAAAACACCATTGACGAAATTAATGTCAGCTGTAACTCCAGTAACTTCCAGCATTTTGTGCATTAAATACCTTGATATTCAATGTGGTCTTCAACAGAAGAGGAGGGATTTCCTTTAATGGTAATAAAACTCCATGGGTGCCTGGAAAATGAAAACGGGAAATGATCAAGTTATGTCAAGTATGAGATGCATATTTCTTATAACCCAATGTTCTTAAATTGTCCTCTTTCAGAGGCTCCACATTCAAAACAGTCTGATTAGTGTCACAGGCAGCTTAGTTAAAATTAAAATGATCTCAACACTCTATATTTCTTCAGTAAATATATCAGAAGAGAAGAAATTTTGAAGACAAACCCCCACTTAAAACATGCCTGTAACAAGTGTGTTCGTTTTTTGAATGAGTGTTTAAAGAAACTTGTGTATGACAGACCCAAGAAACACTGGCAACTCCTTGGGGAGCCTGAAAATAAATACTGTGTGTGTGTGGGTACATGTGTATACACCGAAGAATATGAAAAGAAACCACTTCTGCTTAAATAAATGTAGCTCATGCTGAAACTTTGTATGTGACAATTGTCTTTGGAATGGCCCATGAGAATTTCTAATAGACAGACTGGCTGGCAAAGGACAATAAAACATGCTTAGATAGTCTCTGCGTATCTAGTTTCCTTCTTTGAACATTGAACAAGGATAAAGGTTTATGCCTCTGAATTGTCTATTCAAATCTGATCCCATGTCAGAATTCAGTTCATCACCATCTGATGGTTATTGATTAAGTAGGTTCAATAGCTATCAGCCATAGCTAATAACCTGGAGAATGACCACATGGATGAGAAAGCAATGGAGACAGGGACTAAAGTACCTCCCAACCTTGAGGGTGAACCCAATTAGTAGGGGTCAGGGGGGAGTTTTTATCTTTAAAGTAGAAGCAGTTCAGGCATATCTGCTCTTAATGACTAAGAGAATAAAAAATGTACTTTTAGGGTGGTAGGGAGACTGTCCTGATTTTAGCAAAAACTCCCATAGATAAGGTCGTGTCTCTATAGTTACAAATATCTGGTCATTTCAATCTCATCAAGAGTCTTGCAGGTCACCTTCCATTGGTGTAAGTGAAATTCCAAACTGCTCTGGGGCTCCAGAATAAAACACATACAGACATTGACCGAGAGCCCCAGAAACACACCCAAATCACAGGCGCTGCCAGCTGGGGTTTGCTGCTCTGGGGGCAGCAGGGGCAGGCTCGGGGTGAGCCCAGGCTGTGCCACAGCCCCAGTGGCCACTGCTGCTCAAGGGGACACTGTCCCAGCAGCGTGTCCCCAGCCCCAGCACTGGCCAGGCTCAGTGGAAGCTGCCAACAGCACTGCCTCGGGAGCCTGCCAGAGAGCCAGATGCTCCTGCTGGAAAATTCGCCTGCGCGCCAACTGCCGAAGGCTCTGACGGGCTGTGATCTCCATCCAGGGAGAGAAGGGGGGTGGGAGCAGGAAGGACACTTTATCGCTCACCAGGCAAAATAGATTTGTGTTTTGGTTTGTTATTATTGTTATTTTGGTAAACCCAATTCGAAACAAATGACGAAAAATGATGATGTCCCAAAAATAATCTCAAAAATAGTTTAAAGAATAAGGAGCTATTCACTTCTGCAACTCAAGGTTTGGTCCCATTTCATGTGTGAAAATTCTTGTTTCTCTGAGTTATTTTACCACTAAAAATAGTTTTAGTAGTTCAACCCTGACACGTAAGGACACATGCAATCTGTTTGGGCTGTATGAAATGAAGTGACCAGGAAGTCCAGAGCCAAACAGGAGATATTAGTGTGGAATTCCAAAGAGAATGTCATCAAGTGCAAAAAGGCTTTCTCTTCATTTATTAGTAAAAAAGGGGGGGGGGGAAATGGCTCACACTGAAGAGTAAACACACTTTTTAGAAGGAAAACAATAGGAGAGGAATACAAGATTTTCCTTTCATTCCAAATGTTCTGGACTCAGCAAACAGGCAATTAAAAGAGATTCCAGGAGCACAGAAACATTTCTGAATAAATCAGCATTGTGCATGGGCTCTGCTACAGCAAGGGGGAGTTGCACAAGCTTACAATCTGGTTGAATATGGAGCAACTGAAGATGGACAGGAATTTGCCTGACCCCCACCAACACCCCAGCCAGAAACCAACACAATCTATGACTGAATAGCCAAACCCAAGTAGCAACTCACAAAGTACAAAGCAGAAATTTCTTAAGCCTGGGGTTTACACTCTTGTTCTCTCAGGGATGCCTGTGGCCATTATCAGGAGCTGTGAAGATTTGACAGCCAGGATTCAGCAGGACCAGCCAGCAAGCCCCAGTGCTGGGCTGTGAGTGGTGACAGGCATTAGAAAGAAACATCCATCTGCTTTCCTGAGTCAGAGCCTGCCTTGGCCACAGAGGATAAAATGTGTACACACTTTCTCATTCCAAACATTTTTTTCTAAGATACTAAAAAAAAAATTTTGAAAAGCACCTGTCAAGTGTATACATCCTTATTCATAGTTATAGATGCATCTGAAACGTAAACCACTAGGTCTAAATCTTGCTACCCTGAAGTGGAAGTTCAATTTGCTTTAGAGGAAAAGCTTGGATACACCTAAAGCTGCCTGTGTTCCACTGTGCCATCAAACTGCTTTTCTAAGTCTGGCCCCAGCTGCCATCCAGACAATGTGGTTTTTTGAGAATTGATGAATTTAAACTCTGAGAAAACTCCTAGAAATATGTTATTTTAAATAATGCACCAGCTATTTTTCCGCACACCAATATGCTGCAATTCGTTGACCAGTGCTGACCAATTACTACCTTGTTATTTATTCACATGTAATTAATGGAATGCAATTTTGTGGGTTTTCTGATAACAGCTTGGCAAGGATTAGCCTTTTGACTGCAAACAATGCTGAAAGTCACACTTCATGGATGAATTTCTGCAGTATTTCCATTATAAACATTGATGGAAAAATGATGAGAAGCTTGCATTAAAACACCACAGCAGCCTGAAAAATTAAGTGCAATTTACTTTTATAAATATATGCAAAAAACATCAATTCCTTCCTGTAGCACAGCTGGGGGGAAAAGAACTGTAAATGTTCAAAAATCATGTTCTGTTCCCCTAATTCCAGCATTTGAAAAAAATCCCAGCAGGCTACTGGGCTCTAATAAGGGGTCTAGATTTGGGAACAAGAGCTGCACTGATGGAGATAGCCTGGTTTTGGAGAACATTTTTGCCCTCCTTGCTGATTCTTTGAAATGTGTTGTCTGGTGCCCAGGAGCCCCTGTAACATTTGACACCACCTCTTCATCAACCACCCCAGATCTTGTTCCATCTGTGTGTGCCCAGCTGACAGATGTCTCTTTCCACAAACTGCTGTATTGAAGCACTTCTCCCTACAAGGCAGATTTTGTGTGTGTGTGTGTGTTCTGCAGACACCCTCTTAGTGCCTCATAAAAAACCCCTACATAAATTCAGATAAACACAAAACATATAATGGCTACAGATGGGTAAATAGCAAGTATTCTCAACAGTGTGTGTGCCAACACAGACACTGTTTTGGCCACAGAAGTATTTACAGTCCACACCATAAATCCATGTTTGCTAAATTTCTGTGCTGCACAAGTCCCCAGACCTGTACTGGACAAGCTGAGGAATGTGCTGTATGTGTTTCTGTATGTGTAGCCAGGGTTACACAGCAATTATTGTACCCTCCTTAATGCTCAGCCCATCTAATCCTCTGTGTGTGTATAAATATGCTTCTTAAATCTTTGGGGTATGGCTTGAAAATAAATTGGAATAAGCAACCTGTGGGAACAATATCTTGAAAAACCATCTTTTTTAATGTGAATCATATGCTATTCCTCAATCTGCTAATAAAAATACCCAATATAGACTCTGAGTGCATCTGAAACTATCTAATTAACTGCTAAAACTCCACACTGAGAAGTTTCCCTCTTTTTTTATTTTTTTTTCCCATGTGAAAGAACTTTGTGACTTTGAAAGAGTGGAACTATTTGGACATCTCAGGAACATAATAAAGCCTCTGTGCTGGGAGAACTGGCAGGACTGGCACATACCTAAACCCAAGGTGGAGGAAATGCTTGCTGCCCAGTTTGGTCATTGCTTTCCTGGCCAAGTCATCCAAGTTTCTGGATCCTTCATCATTCACTGCGACCGACAGGATCATGCCATTTGCAACTCTACCCAAATATTGAGCCAGGCGGATACTTTCCTCTTTTGCTCTGTAGGTATCAAACCTGAAACGATAAAAAACTCCAGTAAATACTGACTGCAGTGATCACATCTTTATGTACTGAAAAGCAAGAACTGTAAAGAAAGTACTCTTTTGTATTGTTCACTGTAATGTTATCCTATTGCAAAAGCACTTGTCTGGCAGGGTATGTTAGGGGGTTCTGTTAAGCCAAATTGATTTAACTCTGGTTGACAAACTGCAAGGTGTAGCACTGCTCACTCTGTGGTTTTGGAGAATGATGGCCTAGGAGGAATTGTACAGATGTGCAATAACACCCATTTGAACAAGATGCTAAAATGAGTGTGTTTGAGCTTGCTGACATGCTGTCCCCAACCTGTTCCCAAAGATCCTCACATCTGGGCAGTCAAAAGGTCACTCACCGATCTGAATGGACAACTGCTCCCGTCTTAGGGTCAATAACATGGACAATGACCCCCCGGTGGCCCCAGCTCCTTTCAAAGTAATATCCACCTTCTTCCATGCCACCAGGATGAAGAGTCTTGTTTAAGAAAGTCCAGGACAGCTTTTTCTTTCCATGGATCTCAAGAGTGCCACCTTTGCTGACTCCAAGGTACTTCTGTCCAAAGTAAGGATTTGGCTGGCTGCCGTCACCCGCTCTAAAACAGGAAGGGAGGAAAGAGACCAGGTTTGGGTTTGTATCTGAGTCAAGGAACCTCTTGAGAAGTCTCCTGATTTGCAGTGCATTTCTTTCAGGTACTCCAAGAATCAGGAGCTACCCACGTTGTACAGAAAATAAATTATTTTTTAAAATAGTAGCAGCTACCAAAGACCAAAAGCAATCTGGAACACAGCTTATACATGCTATATTCATTATATCCAGGCCAGAGGAGGCCTGGAGCCCAGACTGAATGCTACATCTGTGTTTTTGAATTCTGGAGGCAGGCAAGACCTTAACCAGGAGCTAAGAGGTCTAGTGCTTGTTAAATATCAATTTAGCATCCTTGAAATTTTAAGATTTCCTGTACCAATCTGCAAGACATAAACGTTATTAACCTTCAGCCCACAACTCCCATACAGAAAGAAAGGATGTTTAGGAAGGGGAATTTTCAGACAAAAATAACTCCTCAGGTTTTAAGTCTATTCTGGAAAATCAGTTTGAGTTGTGGGAAGGGGCATGCTAATTCTCTGGCATGCCTGAACACCCCAGTGTTCATGTGTCACTTGAAGAGAAAAAAACCCAAACCTGCATCAGTTTTTGTGGGCCATTTAAATTGTTTAAAAAGTTACTGAACTTTCCACAGAGCACTGATGATAAGTGATGATAAGATGTAATTTTAAGGAACATTTTCACCCCCTGGAAAGAGGGAAGTGGAAGAGAGATGCTAGAAGGTTCTTAGGTAGTATTTTATCATGCATACATACCGCCCATATAAGATGATAACCGCGTTGCCTTGGTAAGGGCACAGCTCGCTGCCAATATGCAACTCTCCATCATTTTCAATGAGTATATGTCTTGTACGCAGAATGATGGGCTGCACATCGTCTTTGATGACCAGTTTCCCTAAGTAGAGAAGGTCATGACATTTGCTTTATCACACAGAGGCTCATCTGAGGTTGTGGTATGGTTGTGCTAAGCCAAATGCTGGGCTGTCATCTCAATTTTTGAAAAATTCCGTTCATAGACCCCAAAACAGCTCTCAATTCAAGTCCTGAAAAACATTGGGATTTATTCTGTCCAGTTCTTGAAGAGTGCAATTAAGGTTTGCATGGAAGAGGACCCATTCAAAACTGAGACAGAAATTTAGAGTTAAGATGAATAAAAGCTATTTATGCCAGCAACACTACGGCTCTGTCCTTGGAGACAAAGAGGGACAGAGGGACAGGGCATTTGTCCTGTTCTGAGGCCTGATAACACAGCTACTTCAGGGCCAGTTTTTCTTGGTAAAAAAATGTTTTTGAAGCAAATTGCAGAAGTAGAACTGATCATTACACTGTGCTACTTGTGTGAATTCTCTGGAGAGGACAGAAAACAAGCTGGTTACAACAGCTAAAGAATCTCAGCACCTCAGCAGCCACCCAGCCTTGTTCCGAGGTAAAGCTGTGTTTGCCCAGTAGCCACCCACTTCTCAGCAAGAAGATCTCTCAGCGTGATCCACAGTGATTTAAAGTCTGTGATTTACAGTCCCAGTGGAGAGCAGGCTGCAGCCAGCCTTGCCAGCAGCATGTTTTACCTCCATCAGTGATGTGGATAGAGTGAACAGTCGCAGAAGAAGAGAGAAGCAGCTTCCTGCCATTGCGGATCTCAACGCGGTTTTCTTCATTGTGACCTGGGCTCCAGATTTCTAACTCAGGATCTCTGTCAGGACATGTGACAGCTGCTTCTGCTGGGCAAAGATGGAGAGTGAGGACAGTCAGTATCTGTTTGGTGTGAGACAGAAAGCTCTGCAGCTGGGCATCTTTAGAGGATCATTCAGCATCCCCCCTTGGCTGAGTCCCTGGAACACAGCAGTACCTCAGTGCAGCAGGGTACGTGTAGGTCACAACCAAAAGAAAACAAACAACGGCTTAAGCTGCATGGCTTTCTGTTTTCTGGAAGAATGGAAAAACCCAAAGTAAAGGAGCCTTGCAGGGGATGCAGTTTCCAGAAAACTACTGGAAAGGGAATTTAACTGAGCCCTTCCTGCAGTGACATTTAGCTCTGTTCATACCATCTAAACACAAAGCCCAGAAGAGGTGTTGATAAAAGGATAAAACAACTACTATCCTTATAAATGCCCCCAAAACACCTGCTTCATTTAATATAAAGGTGTTAAAATATGTTTGCAATATTTATTTTCACTGGAGGTAGAAAGAAAAAGAGATCAAACTAGCATGGAAACACCAAGCACCAAGCAATCCAGTAGCAGGGAGCAACAGGAGCCTCACAAGTGTGTCTGGGTTTGTGAGCTTTCCCAGGCAGAAACAAGAAGGATTCATTCACTTTGGGATCACACATCTCCAGTCTCTGCACACAAATTCGGTGATGGGCTGCCATGACGTGTTAGTCTGAACAGCTCTCATACCACATCCAAGAGTCTCATGTTGCAATTATTTGTTTAAGATAAAATATTTCCCTGATACAACCTCAGTTGATATGTGAGCCTCGTGTCTTACTCTAACCAACAAAGATGTGAGTGAGTGTCTCACGTGTGATGCATATTTCCTGAGGGTAGAATCCTTCCTAATCCTAGGAAGCTGAGGTCAGTGGAAGTTTGAACAATGAGTCCTTTGCCTTCAGAAAGGGCTGGGAGTTCTCACCATCTTTCCAATTTCTATCCCTTGAAACAAAAATACCATGGAGAAAACAACAGGACCAACAAATCAATGACCATGGGCATGGGACAAGCACCTTGACCTCAGCAGGGCTATGTCCCTGGAACTTGGTATAATAAAGCTGTGTGGGCTTTGCCCCACAGTACTGATGCCTCCAGGTAATGGAAAGGACAATGATGTCAATCCAAGCAAGGAAACGTTTCCTGGTACTGGTGCAGATGACAGGCAGTTGTTTTTTGCTGCCACTGAACTTGAAGGACATCTGTAATTCCTCAGCAAAACAAACAAAATCTGTCCATCTGCATTCAGTTTCCCCTCACATTCCTCCACCAGCTTCATCTCTTAATCAAACAATAGAATTGGACCAGCCATGGTTTTAAAGTCTCCAGAGCCCAAATAAATACCAGTTTTCAAGGTGGGTGAGGGATGTTTCATGTGGGCTGCATAGACCTTGTCTCTCTGCAAACTTTTCCCATGTATGTGAAGTAAACCAGAGAGGGCAAATAATCTACCAAGCAGCAAGTCAGATACAGATAAACATCCAGGACCTGATTTTGGTACCAGTGTGCCAGCTGGAAGCTGGAATTGTATTAGTAATGTCAGAGGCACTCTCTCCAATTTACAGTAATTGAGAAAAATAAGGAGGTGTTTCTGGGTTCCTCCTAGAAGCCATACAGAATTAATAAAAGTTAGAAAAGATAAAATATTTCAGACAGGGAATGGGGCTTGCATTGTAAACAGATATTCAAATATAACTGCAATATACACTGACATTTTTTTTTAAAGAGCTGTTTTTTCCCTGAGAATAAGGATAATAGAAAAATTTGCTCATGATAAGAAGTGATATAACACCAAGAGAATCAAATGTAAAGGTATAATTTATCAATGATAATTAATCACTTTAAATGTAAAGGATAAAAGTGTTGTTCATTCTTCCATTTATTTGAATATGGTACTATGCAAGGAGCTTCCTGCAGTCTTGAAAGATGACTTGTGCCCCCAAATTCATTATTTTAAAACAGAGATGCAAACAGGGAAGCCTAAGGGGAAATCAAGAGGTATTTAGGCTGGTGTTTGGGATGACAAACAGCAAAAGCCAACAAACCAGAAAGAGAGGACTCAGATTCCCAATTTCATTAACCAATTTGCAACAGGAACTTTGCACATCACCAGCATCTGCTGTGCCAATGACACCATCAGGCTGAGCATCTTCTGCCAGCTGGTCCAGTTACCTTGACAGCTTGATTATTACTTTCATTGTGATTTTTAAAATAAAAGTGCAAATTCTACCCAGCACAAGGAATTAACTGAGTGTTTGCTTCTTGACCAAAAGGGCCTGAGCATGACAATGGGAGGTCGCTTCATGCAGCTGCAGTGTTTGGGGTAAGACATATGGTCTCTTTGTTTCAAACAAGTACAAAACTCCAAATTAGCTCTATATAGAGTATGTAAATCAAGCTCCCCTTTCCACCTTCCCTAAACTGCTTAGTAAAAGAACTGCTTGGAAGAGACAAAACCCAAGGGACAGGGATGTCTCAGGCAGAGCTTTTTGCTCTCCACATCTGGGCTTGAGGAATGGAGGGAAATGCTCGCCTTCACCTCCCTCAGCCACAGCTATTAGGACCTGAGGTTTCTTTTCCTATTTCTTTGGGGCAGTTTGTTGGATTTGTGTTTGGCTTAAGAATGTGTAGCAGAGTCTGAGGGATTGCTGAGGGTGCTTTCACCTGCTCAGAAATTTCAGTCTTTGCCACTCCAGCTGCCCTTGATGGGGAATATTGGCACACCAGAAAACTGCTTTTCTCATGAGTTTTTTTCACTCTGTCCTTCACTCTTTTTATACAAAGAGTGAAAAGCTAGTCAATTTAAACCTATTAAAAATAGCATTACAAACCATACCCTTTTTCCCCATGGCAAGAAAACTTACCTGTGCTTACTGAAGAGACTATAAACAGTAAAAACCCCAAACTTCCAGCCAGATACTTGGAGGTAGGTAGAGCCATTCTTCGGGATTTTGAGTTCTCTGTATGGATAGCTGTGAAAAAAGAGTATCAAGAAAATGTCACTTCTTATTTTTTTTCCAGCTCATTCACTGCACAAAAAAAGGAAAAAAAAAGGGAGGTGAAATCCAGCTTTATGCCAGACCACATCCACTCCCATTCAGCTCAATGGCTGAAAACACCTCTGCACTGATTCAGGACCAGCCTGAACAGAGCAAGGAGCCATGGGCAGCTCCTCACCCTTTGTTTGGTTTTGGATAAACCCACTCGGGAATCCAAATAGACACTCAGAACGCGGCCACCAGCTGCAACCAAAAAAACGCCTTAGGAATGTGGCATAAACACATCCAGTGTCAGGACTCTCTAGGGCTGCATATTCACATGTGCTAAAAAGTAATGAAACACAACGGAGAAGGCGTTTGCAGAGCGACAAATTTTCGCGGAGTAACCTTCCTGTGGCACCTCTCCCCCCAAAATACCCACACGTTTTTAGCAGTGGTGTTTTGTGTAACCCCAGATAAACCGTACTCACACTTCCAACCTGAAGCATGCAGTTTCTTAGATTTCAGATCTAAGAAAATATTGTCTATTTAGTGTGCCAGCTCAGAATTTTCTTGCAAAACCAAAAGCTGCTTTTAAAACCAGTCTACCTAATGTTGTTTTTGTTTCTTCCGTAGCCAACCCCCAGCAAAAACAAACAAGCAGTGTCATGAAAGTCAAAGTTGGAATTAATGTGATTCTCTCTGGTCTCCAGTGATTGATTCTGCAGCTCTGCCCCAGGCTCATGACAATTTATTGACATGTGTATTCACAGGGAGGCAAGGACACCCACTTCTGTATTCATAAGGCACTGTTTAAAATTCACATGTAGTCCTTGGAGTCTTTAGGTTTTATCATATAAGCCAGTGTCTGGGGAATATAAAAAACATTTATTTGTAGCTGTCATGTCACATCCCACTGATGAAACAGGATAAATATATGCATCACACAGTTTAGTTCAACACAAAAAAATAAGCAGTGAAAAACAATTCCAGGGTACCCCAATTTCTTTAAGGCAAAAACATGTGTTATTTTTCATGTCACTTGTTAATATAAGCAAAACAACAATAACAAAAACACAAGAAAAATAATGGAAGAAGCCAGGATTTATTCTGAAGCAAATTTTGTAGTGTATATGTAAAACACATTTGTACTGTTTGTAAAGGTGACACAGCTCAAAGTACAACAATAAGTTCAAAACACATGTAATCCAATGATTGCATTAAAAATAACACTAGGAGTAGATTTTACAGGAAATATTTTGCCATGGAAATGTTTGTTTGCTTTGGTATAGTGTATTTGACATCCCTGAGCTCTGGAAACCTCATAGGCTCAGGGCTTGGTAGGGTCTATCAGGTGCTGAAATGCTGTTACAGAGCAGTGGAAGAGAGGAATGCACTTAGCAACGCTATAACTTTGAATGATATACATTATCAGAGAGCAGTGCCGTGGCCATGGAATGTGTGCCAGAGCCAGGCTGCACGTGTCTGACATTTTAACTGCATTAACCATCAACATTGGATAAGCCAGAACTCTTTCAAAGAAGCATTATTAGAGGTATGCCCAAAGTACAGCAGTCACCATTAAAATGCCAAGATTTATTAGTGATTATTACACAGCCTGATCTGCAGACCCAGTCATTAGGCTCTGCTGCAATGATTGAGGAAGAACTAAACAAGAGGTAATACCACAGGATGGTTATTGCAGATAAACAGAATTTCTCAGAGTGTAGATACAACTGTGTGTTAGTGCTCCATAAAGCCAGATTCCAACTGGTGAGGTTTAGGTCATAAAATACATTCAGATGATATAAGAGTTCACAGGAATAAAAGGAAGGGACTGGTTTTTTTTGACAGCGGCATTTGCTTTCCTATTGCTTTGTAGGTAGCAAAGAAATGTCTTTGTTCTGGCCCATTAAAAGCTTAGAGTGTCTCTGTTCTTACCTCTGACACAAGCCTGTAGCAAACTGATAGGAGTCTGCATCAAGAAATTTCTTAGCCTTTGCTTTCTTTAGAGCCAAGAACTGTACTTACCATCAGGTTGTGCAAAATGGCTTCTGGTTTTATATCCCGTGTTGCTCACCGGGGACTGCTTCCCTGATTGCATCCATCTTCATCAGCAGAGATCAAAACAAGCAGTCAGACACTGGGAAGACATGTCATTTTTGGAGGCATCAGCTGTGTGCCAGGACTCCGATGTTTTCGCAGTGTCTGATCTGCCACAGTCCAAAGAATACCCTGCTTATTTTGTGGCTGAGGAAGGGTGTTTGATTCGGCTCACACCGAGCCCGAGTTCATCGCAGTGTTAGTATTAACTGGCACTTGGGTTGGAAAGGCTGGGAGCCAAGAGGGCCAAGAGGATCTGACTCCTCTGATTCAGCTCTGACTAACACCAGGCTGGAAAAATGCTGCTCGGAGGATAATCTCAGGAATTTTCCTTCAAACCGTCTCAATCAAGCATCTTTCCCAAATACCGGGCGCAAGCAGCGGCACGTCTGGTTTGATTGTTCAGAGTGAGAGGAGGAAGAGATGGTGACTGCTGATGGCTTTGTGGTGCTGGAGCAGGCTCAGGAGCCGTTCTCTGCTGCCAGGCAGCGCTTCCTCGGCTCAGCGCTGGGAGCCGCGTGGGGATACAGCCACACGCCGCATCCTTGAACGGGCGCCACGCAGCTGACTCCAGCTCTGATGTAACCACCAGTGTCAACAAATCTCCCTGCAGATTTGGGCACTCAGAGCACAAGGGCCGTGCGAGTGGCCGCCTGAGCCTGTCGTCTCCAGCCTTTCTCAAATACCATCTGGGACTTCTCTCTTGGGTGAGAAAAGCTTTTATATCTAGCCATTAAAAGCTGCCTGGCAATGGCAAGTGGGACTCATATCCTTGGATCTGGCAAGGCAGACACTCTGAAATGATTCCCAGCTGCTGAACCTTTCCAAAAAGTGAACAATAGCAGCAGACAATGCTAAAAGTAGATGCAGGAAACCATTAGTCCTCAGCTGGCTGCTCCCGCAGGTGTCAGCAGCGACGCTGTACTAGAAAGCACACTGCAGAGGGGAATCCCTATCCACCGCCCTTCCCACGGTTCCAGTGCTGGAGGCAATGCACTGCAGACAGTTCTGAGAACAAAACTGTGAAGAAATGTTCTGAGGAAGCTGGATTGTCACAGGTATCGTGGTGGGGTCAGAGCAGAGCTTTCCAGAGAGGCACCGCCAGTCGTTCCCAAACACACACCGTGACTCGCCCCCTTGCACAACCCTGGACCAGCCACCCAAACATGGAAACAACATTTTTAAAAGTTACTAGCAATGCTGGGTGTTTGGGTGTGCTTTTAAAGACTGTCTTGACACTCTTTGGAGCATGTACCTTCAGATCTGCTGCAGACAGCTCCTTTCAGTATGTCAAGCGAGGCATAATGGGATCATTCACAACCCATTAAAAATGAGGCAAGGACTGGAAAAAAGCAGCAGCTACCTGATTTCTCCTGGAAAAGATGTCAAACAAGGGCAGCAAACCATGTGGCTTCCGTTGCTACCAGTGAAAGAGACCACCAACCTGCATGGGAGCAAAACAGGGATCCGGCACCATCCCCAGAGAGCAGGGAAAGCTCACAGGGAAAAGGCACCTTCTAGCCTGATGGGGAGTGAGCTCTCAGCAGACACTAAATTGCCCAGGTGCTTGGGATGACCTGTGAGTAAAACTTCTGTTCTCCAGGAGCCTTCTCTGCAAGGGAGAAGTTCTCAGAAGCCCTGATGGGTCAGTGCCAGGGCTATGCAAACTCAGACCCTCCCAAAGCCTCCGCAGATGCTGAGGTTGCAGCAGTTTGGTACCGAGGTCTGAAGCCCTGCTGCATCTTTCCTCATGCATATGCAGGGAGGCCAACATGGATTTGGAAGCTGATCCTAAGAGAGGGAGGAGCTGTTTAATTAACGCCTCTGCTCCCTTCTTGCTGACGCTGCATGGCAGCAGGTCCCCTCACCCTGCTCACGGAATTTTGCATTTTTCCCGGCTGGGAAGATGGATTTGAGGCGCACGTTTGCTTTTCTGACGCGAAAGCATGCCAGCCCTTGCTACAGTGACATACAGAGGGGATTTTCACACACCCAGCCACAGGCACAGCTAAAGCCTTCAGAAAATAAACACACGAATTTCTGGGGATTGCTAATGGAAATGCTGCTCAGTCCCAGTGCATGGCAGCGGCATAGCTGCCTCTGCTCCACATCTTTTCCTTGTGCTTGCCACCCACACATCAGCTGCTCGTTTTTACTAGCAAGAGGAGGAGGATTAAACTCAGGAACAGACTTTAATTCTCAATGAATCAATACTGGAGTCAAAAGCAACATTCTGCCTGTTTTCCCAGTGAACCTTGGTTTCTTATAAATCTATCTAATAACTTTCCCAACAAGAGGGTTCTGCTCACATATTCTGTATAAACATCACCGCAAATTCCTTGGTTCCTGATGTCCACAAAAATAGATTCTGAATGAGGAGCAGGAGTTAGAGGAAATTTTTACAATGAATAAATTAAAGAAAACTAAGGTGTTTGCTGATTTGTTGTAATATCAGCAAATTATTTTGAGACAGAAATAAAAGGGGGAAAGTAGGGGTTTTAAAGCTATGCTTTTTTGAACAAAACTTTTTTTCCAGAGGCTTACAGACTTTGAAGAGGAAAGGAAGCAATTTTTGGCTCTGTTTAAACAAAATCATTTGCAATTCCCATCACTCCGCCCATCTGAGCCTGACTGACTCCCAATTTCACATGCTTTTGAAGTGCTCAGCATTTCACTGAATTAAACCCTCCTCCATCACATGAAGTTTTCAAAGCACCAAAGTAGTGAAAAGCTGAGCCCCGTTTGCTGAGGCTCAGGGTGCACTGACTCTGCTGTGCCTGCTGCCAGCCAAGCTCATGCTTCCAGGGGATGCCAGAGCCACTGCAGGAATGCTCTGGGGCTGGCCAGAATGGCCACACA